AAATGAGGATGAGTCAAAGCAGTAAAAAGACAGCCAGGTCACTCTGCCTGAGCATTTAAGTGAGGGTGGCACTGCTGACCCCACTGCTGTGGGTCCTTGAGGCCACCTAAGGCGGAGCCTCTATGCTGCCGCTTCTTCTGGACTCTGGCGTGGCTCCAGTGGGATTTCTCAACTGTGTGTACACCTAATTACTCTCCCAAGGTCAAAGTCGGAGGTTCAAGGAACTGATCGAGGGAGCCTGGTCATTCATTGTCAAAGCCTGTTGTTGGGCCTGGAGCAGGAAGAGGAAGAATCTGGCTCCTTTACTCCTGAAGGAGGCAGACACCAGACTGTTACCATGAGGAATCAGTCGCATCAGACATGAGTTCGGATGGTTGTAGACAAAAACAACAACACAAACCCAGGAAAAAGAAAACAAATTTTGAGACCAATACAAATGAAATAATCCATTTTCCCAGAATTGTCTTAGTTGTGGGGAGAGTAGTAAACCCAAAAGTTTACTACTTTTTACAGTTAATTTGCATGTCATTTATGTTATTACTTATATAATAAGCACACCCATATAGCACATAGTATGTACTAGTCACTCTTCCAAATGCTACATGAATTTTAACTTGTTTGATCTTCACATCAACCCATTGGCATTATCATCTGTATCTTATGTATGTGCAAACTTTAGCCAAAAGAAGTTAAGTAACTTGGCCAAAATCACATAGCTAGTAAGTGGTAGAAGAAAGATTTGAAGTCAAGGAGTCTGGGGCTCCAGGGCCAATATTCTAACCACTACAATACATTGCTCCTGGCTATAGTAGTTTTTATTTGTAGTTATACTTAAAGAAAAATGTTCAAATCCAAATAATCTGATTAAAAAATGGGCAAAAGTTCTGAATAGACATTTCTGAAAAGAAGACATACAAATGGCCAACAGGTATATGAAAAATTGCTCAACATCATCAATCCTCAGAGAAATGCAAATTAAAACTACAAAGAGATATCATTTCACCCCAGTTAAAATGGCTTTTATCCAAAAGATGGGCAATATAAGATGTGGAGAAAGGGGAACCCTCGTACACTGTTGGTGGGAACGGAGATTAGTACAGTCACAATGGAGAACAGTGTGGAGGTTCCTCAAAAAAACTAAAATAGAACTACCATATGATTCAGCAATCCAACTGCTGGGTATATATCGAAAAGGAAGGAAATTTGTTTATCAAAGAGTTGTCTGCACTCCCATGTTTATTGCAGTACTATTCACAATAGCTATGATATGAAATCAACCTAAAGTGTCCATTATAAATGCTAAAGAAAATGTGATACATATATACAATGGAATATATTCAGCCATAGAAAGAAAGAAATCCTGTTATTTGCAACAACCTGGGTGCAACTGGAGGACATTATGTTAAGTGAGATAAGCCAGGCACAGAAAGATAAATACTGCATGTTCTCACTAACATGTGGGAGCTAAAAAAGAACTGACTCCTGGAGACAAGAGAGTAGAATGATGGTTACCAGAAGCTGGGAAGGAAATGTGGGGGGAGGGGATGGTTAATCGGTGCAAAATTACAGTTATATAGGAGGAATAAGATCTAGTGTTTGGTAACACAATAGGGTGAGTATAGTTAACAATAACTTATTGTATATTTCAAAATAACTAAAAGAGTGGAATTGGAATGTTCCTAACACAAAGAAATGATAAATGCTTGAGGAGATGGACACTCCAATTACCCTGATTTTATCATTGCATATTGTATGCCTGTATCAAAATATCACATGTACCCCAGAATATGTACAAGTATTATGTATCCATAATAATTAAAAATAAAAAATTTAAAAAAAGAAAATGTTTTGTAAGCAATATATACTTCATTCCGTTAGGTGGAGTCTGTCCTCTGAACTATTATTTTCATTGTGCTTATATAAAGTCCTGAATTAACCGAACCCCTTCATATCTTTTAGAGAGACATTTTTAAACAGGGCAGTGTAATTATTTAGTAACAGTTGCAATCAAAAAACTTATGTCCAGATTTAAAAGACCAGATAAACAGCAGATACTATAGGATGGATCATGAAGAACTGCTTTACACCCCTTTTATGTCTTAGGGGACTCCTATTTTAAGGAATGTTTCCAGTTCTTTTTGTAAATAATCCTTTCTTCTTATCCCCTTATGTGATCATTTAGTGATTTTTTTTTTTTTAAATTCAATTCAACTAACATACATTGAGTGCTTACGGTTTGGACACTGTGCTTAGGAAGTACAAAGAGGAAAAAAACTTGGCCTCTGCCTTGGAACTTTTGATAGTCTAATTCCAATTTTTAAAAGTAAAGGCTTTTCTTAAAGTAAGTTCAAACTGCTATCAGACTTTATCAACAAATTTTCATTAAAGGGTAAGACCTCTCGTTTTTCTCAAGAGACCATCTGGTTTTGATCACATTTTTTTTTTTTTTTATTTTAGAAAAAGGAGATACTTGCTGTGGCTGAGGGGTAGTTGTGATACTCAGAAACATTTGTGACTTAAGAGAAAAACTGTCATGACTTTTTGAACTCATTTGAAATTTGAGAACTGGTACCCTCTTTCTCTCTTATCATCTTGTTTATCTCACTGACCCAAAACCACAGACTCAAGGGACTCCAACACATGATCACTTGTCTGATAACTGCCATTTCCCTTTCTCTCACAGTTTGAGCAAATATGAAGTGCTGTGCCCACCACTGCAAGGATGTCTTTCTTTGCTTGTATTTATTGTCTTTTTAATAGACTCTTTCTTGCCTAATGGTCTCCCGAGTGTAGATTAGAAATTAGAAAAAAACAAGTGTTTTCTCTGGTAAGCAATTGCTTTGGGATCTGAACTAACAGGAACTACTGGGACTTCCAAGGGGTGAGGCTACCTTTTCTGTTTAAGAATCTATGTTTCCTCTTCTGCAGATTTCACACATTGCACAGATATTTGTGGTGTGCCTTTCAAGCACAAGGGGCGATGATGTGCTACAGGATGACGTACGTTGGGTGTTGGTTTCAACTTCCTAATTTCATGTGTATGGTATTTTCCTGTTATCACCTTGGTACTTGGTACTTTCCATCTAGTCACATTATTATGCGATCCTCACGTGCTATTTTAGGGTTGGTGAGAAGCTTAACATTCACTTGATGGATCAGCCATAGCTCGCATCCACAGGTGCTCTAGCTCATCCTTAAAATATTGTGTTAGAACAGATGCAACAGAGGAAGTTCTGCAAAGGTAAATCCAGAGAATTGGAGAGTTACTGACTTGTATTATAGAATGGTGGTGGTGGGAAGGCAGAGAGTTCAGATATGTGCTGTACTGGGAAAAGAAGAAACTAAGTGGTCCATACATATGTGACTATGTAACTTATCCAAAACAGTACACTTTTGAGGGTGAAAGGAACACTACTAATAATTATGTTGGGACATAGGCAAGGACTGTTCTTGGTAAACCGGTAAACCAAGACAGACCTAGAATAATTGAAAAAGAGAGAAAAAAAAAAACATAGCTACCATCCATTAAGAACCTAGGGGACATCAGAGAGCCTTATGTGGGTATTTATAGGATTGTCCAGACAGAGATTTGACCTCTAGCTATAATCATGGTCTTGAAAACTAGATTTAAGTTTATGGTCAAAGGGCAGAATAATCATATTCCAAATAGGATTCTGTAGACAAATCTTGCATCCTGAAGCCTCTGGGTCTTCTTGCCATTTTGGTGTCTCAGTGGCTTCTGTGGGCACTGATAACTAATCCCATACTTCTGCTAAGGGAAATTTTGGGATCAGAAAATCTTTCTCTGCAGCTTCTTTAATTTGCTCCAAATAACAAGGAAATCAGAAATCTCAGGCCAGTGCTGGATGCGGCAGAAATTCCAGAGCAGTTCATAACTTTCCTACCAATTTCAGGTTATCTGGCAGGAATCATTTCAGCTAACAGTGGGGGATACTTTATGAGGCTGTATGGGTGCCAAAATTAATTGCACCTTCATCCCCTCAGGGGCCTGAGTGGGCCAGAGGATTAAATTCATTTAAGATAGATGAACAAGAAAGAAGCATACTCATTTAAGTTTCATGTGGTACAGGAGCCCTCACAAGGACATGAAGACCCAAAAAAGCAGTTAGTCAATGGCTTATATACTGACCTGGACAAAAAACGGGGAGGGGAGAGAAGCCAGTTGTGAAATGTGGTAATGCAGGTAAGGCAAAGGGGCTTGGACTAGGGTAGTTAATTGGGTATAGAAGTGACTAGGAAGATAACGGTTTTTAACAAGATTTGTTTGCACAGATTTCCCTCAGCTTTCCGTCCTGGATGATAAGAATGTTATTTTACAGGGAGGACGTCCTTCCCGTGGGAATTTCATCTTCTGCATTTAAGAAACACAATGAGAGTGATCTTGCACCTGCTTTTTAAGTGCCTTTAATTCAAAATGGTCAATATGCCAAAGGAGCATATTTTGGGGTGGCTTAGTCTTCACTCCTTCAAAGGCTAAAAGCCTTGGGTATAACTGGGTAGTTGTCAAAATGGAGACCATTTTCAGCTAACGTTTGCCAGGTGTGTAATACATTCGACTGGGATTTACTGAGTGCTTACTTTTGTCTCGTTTATTCATACACACGCTATGCTACTGCTCTCCCGCCTCATCTTAAACAAGAGAAAACTCTGGCTCCGAGAGCTAGGTGATTTGAACCAGGTAACAGCTGAACTGGGACTTGGTCAGGGGCTCCAAGCCTGCTCCTCAAGCGATGTAGATGCGCCCAAAGATGCTTGGGAAGGTTCATGGTGCAGTATCTCCCTGCCCTCTTCCCTTGGCAGGCCTTGGACATCCAACTTCCATTCGTTAAAGTGCTTCCGGCAGGTGAGGGCGGTCGGAAAAAAAGCCACAGAGTGGGTACACGTGAAAGCCTAAAGCTGATCACAGACTCGGGAGAAACGAGAAAAGTCTCGCTCCGATTTCTACGGTGGCTGAGTCGGAGGTCGACAGCCCGCACTCAAAATGGCGACCCTGGCATCACCGGCCTCATGCCCGTTTCCATCATGGCGGCGGCCGGACCCGCCTCCCTGGGCGCAGGAGTCATGTGACCCACACAATGGCTGAGCGCCTAGTCGAGGCCTCCCGGCAACGCCGAGTGAAAGTCATGACGGCCGCCGCGGGTTCGGCGGGCCGCGTCGCGGTGCCCCTGCTGCTGTGCACGCTCCTGGTGCCCAGCCGCACGTACGTGCTCGACGACTCCGACGGGCTGGGCCGGGAGTTCGACGGCATCGGCGCGGTCAGCGGAGGCGGGGTGAGTGGCCGGCTGCAGGGACTGGCGGCACGGGAGGGCGGGGGGCGCAGGAGGCCAACCCCATGCGGCCCCGCCCCAGAAGCCCCTGCGGCGTTGCCAGGTGTTTCCACGCGCTCCCGCTGGGGCCCCCGCTTCCCCCTCTCCGCGGGCGCTGAGACCGGCGCTTGCTGGTTTAACATGAACCTAGAGAGGCAGTTAGGTTTGAACGAGTGAGGGTCAGGAATTCCAGCGAGTAAGTGACAGGCTTAGGTAGTGACGAGGTCGAAGATCAAACCGTCATTCCTGGCGAGGGGGCCTGGGCTCTCTTGGTCGCGGAGACAGCACCCTGCGAGGGTCGCTCCAGAAAAGGTTAGGGAACCCAGAAATGTCTGTGTGTGAAAGAGGATGCCCCAGTGGGATGCTTCGGCTGTGTCACTTCCACTTTGTGGAGTTGGTGGGTGGCACAGGTGGTAGCCCCGGGTCCCCTAGCGCAGGGAGTGGTAGGTCCGGCTCTTCAAGAGTTGGTGCCATACAAGGTTTTATGTGTAGGCACAACGAGTGCCTCAGGGTCTCCTTGGAAAGATGGAAGGACTGAAACTACCTGGGACTTTATTATTTTTATTTTATTATTTTTATTTTTTATTTTATTTTTTGTTTTTTTATTTCGGCATATTATGGGGGTACAGATTTTAAGGTTTCAATAAATGCATTTTTCCCCCTCCCCCAAAAAGTCTGAGTCTCCATCATGACCATCCCCAGATGTGCACATCTCACTCATTATGTATGTATATACCGCCCCCTCCCCCCTCCCACCTGCCCAATACCCTATTACTGTAGTAATATGTGTGTCCTATGTGTCCACTTAGGTGCTACTCAGTTAATACCAGTTTGCTGGAGAATATAGCTGGTGCTTGTTTCTCCATTCTTGGGATACTTCACTTAGTAGTATGGGTTCCAGCTCTAACCAGGAAAATATGAGGTGTGCTATATCACCATTGTTTCTTAGAGCTGAATAGTACTCCATGGTATACATGTACCACATTTTATGAATCCATTCTTGGATTGATGGACTTTGGCTGCTTTCCACAGCCTTGCAATCTGAATTGTGCTGCTTATAAACATTCGAGTGCAGGTGTCTTTTTGTAGAGTGTCATTGGATCATTTGGGTAGATGCCCAGCAATGGGATTGCTGGATCAAATGGTAGATTCACTTGTATCGCTTTAAGGTATCTCCATATTGCTTTCCACAGAGGTTGAACTAGTTTGCAGTCCCAGCAGTGTAGGAGTGTTCCTCTCTCCCGCAACCACGCCAGCATTTATTGTTTGGAGATTTTTTGATAAGGCCATTCTCCACTGAGGTTAAGTGATATCTCATTGTGGTTTTGATTTGCATTTTCCTGATGATTAGAGATGTTGAGCATTTTTTCTTATGTTTGTTGGCCATTCTTCTGTCTTCTTTAGAAAAGTTTCTGTTCAAGTCCTTTGCCCACTTTTTAATGGGGTTATTTGATTTTTTTTCCCTGATTTTCGTGAGTTCTAAGTATATTCTAGTTATCAGTCCCTTATCGGATGCATAGGATGCAAAAATTTTCTCCCATTCTGTAGGTTGTCTGTTTACTTTCATGACTATTTCTTTGGCTGTGCAGAAGCTTTGTAGTTTGATCATGTCTCATTTATTTATTTTTGTTGCTGCTGTGATTGCCTTTGGGGACTTCTTCATAAACTCTTTGCCCAGGCCGATGTCTAGGAGAGTGTTTCCAACTTTTTCCTCTAGAGTTCTAATAGTTTCATACCTTAGGTTTAAGTCTGTTATCCAGCGTGAGTTGGTTTTTGTGAGAGGTGAAAGGTGTGGGTCCTGTTTTAGCCTTCTACAGGTGGCTATCCAGTTTTCCCCAGCCATTTATTGAAGAGGGATTCTTTTCCCCAGCGTATGTTTTTGTCTGCTTTGTCAAAGATGAGATGGCTATATGAGGATGGTTTTATATCAGGATTCTCACATCTGTTCCACTGGTCAATATTCCTACTTTATTATTTTTATTTTTTTTAAATGGGAGGCTCCACTATTAATCACTAATAGTCTAGGATTGTTTACTGTTGGGGGCTGAGGAATGAGAAGGTGACTTACTCCCCAGAAGGGTCAGTGCCTCTGCCTTATCGGTGGCAATTTCTTTGTGCCAAGAGATGGGAAAAGTGGGCTCTTCACGCTTAGGATTGCGTAAGGACCACCAGTGTGCTTTTTAAAAGGCAGATTCTGTCTTCCTTTCCCCATGCTGACTTCTTTTTAACAAATAGACCAGTTAATTCTCATATTAGGTATCGAGAGATCTTTTTCCCGATTCATGTATCTTAGGAGCGGGGGATGAGGAGTTTTTTTTTTTTTAAATTTAAATTTTAGAATAGTTTTAGATTTACAGAAAGGTTATGAAGGCAATAGAGAGATCTCATATACCATGCAGCTAGTTTCTGTTATTCTCAGCATCCACATTAGGATAGTGCATTTGTCACAACCAATATTGATACCCTGTTATTAACTAAAGTTTATACTTCATTTACATTTCCCTAGTTTTTACCCAATGCCCTTTTTCTGTTCTGGGATTCCAACCAGGGTACCACATTACATTTAATTAGCATGTATTCTTAGGCTTCTATTGGCTATGACAGTTGGGATGTGTTCTTTTTATGTGGGCATTCCACAGGATTTACTTGAAACATGAGTAAAATTGTGTAAAATTGTGAATGGGCATGGCTGATCATTGCCCTTAGCTCCCTAGTTATGCCAAAAAATGGCTTCCAGGCCCCAGTGTGTTCTTCAGTAGCATGATTGTTCTTGGCTCCTGACAATATTTACTTGCCTTAGACCTATGTTCTTTGTAACCATTGTCTCTGTTTTATTCCCTTCTGTTACTTTTGGGCCCATGGGCTTTATGCTGGCAGACTTTGGGTGAGTGGGTTTTTGTTTTTTGTTTTGTACCCCAAATCCCATCTAGAATTAATTTTATTTGAAAATGTTAAGGTTGAGCTCTTGGCTTCTTGGGTCAGATGGAGCTTGGTACTTAGATTCAACTCAGAAAAAGCTTGAATGCTTGCCTGCTGCATGGGTGACCTGGCCTGTACTCTGATCATATGATATGGAGGAAAAGTATTTCAGGGGGAACCTGTGGGCCAATAAGCTAATGCATTTGTTCTTTACTACTACTATTCTTTTACATTTGTTTTGGTTTAAACCTGAAATAGCCAATATTTCATTACGTGAGGCCTCATCTCTTCTTCTGATGCCTTGTGATAGTAAATCTAGTGTATAAACTTACTGAAAAATGGAAGTCTTTGGTTCCATTGTGATTAAGCTCAATTTAAAATTATTAAAATGATAAGAATCATTTCATAAAACTCAAGGTAGGAAACTCCTGTCTAATCTTATAGAATATCCAACAATTAATAATGTCCCTATGTATAGTGCATTACTCATCATAGGAACTCAATAAATAATGGAAATGATTGCATCACTACATTTGCACACCACTTTAAGCTTCCCTGGTGACCTAGCAGTAAGTGTTTAGAATGTTCTAATTTAATCTTCATATCAGGTAGGGAAGGCAGTATGGTTCAGTCAGTAGTTAAGAATGTGGATTCAGGGGAATCCCAAGGGTCAGTTCTGGACCCTGCCACTCACTGTATGGCCTTGGCAAGTTATTTAACTTCTCTCTGCCTGAATTTCTTTTTTCGGGGATGCAGTGATTCCTGCTTAGTAGGAGCATTGTGAAGATAGATGTAGAGTATTTAGGATGATGTATGGCACATGACTGATTTTGGTTAATAACCATTTTCAGGGATTAGAGAAGAGGAAGTTATTTTAAGGCCTTTGAAGAGATGTTTTTCCAAGGCATCTTCCTGGGTTTGTAAATGGCTCCAGGATTTATTCAGGCAGTGTGGTTAGTAATCCCATGATTTGTTTATTACTTGATGGTACATTTCAGCATTTGGTTATATTGTCTTTGACTCATGCTTTTGCATTAGGTATGACTGTAGGTTTGTAATAGCATAATAGTGTAGTTTGTTTACCTAAAGCTGGTACTTTCTGAATTAAATGTGGGAGTGCATAGAGGGCAAAATAACCCCAAAGAGCAAAAAAATACAGTTCTAACAGTGTAATGCAAGGTAAGAAGCATGCTTTACTTAGGGTCAAGGATATGTTAGTGTGCATATACAGCGTTCATTCACTTAATGCTATTTTAATATTTGAATCTCTGCTGGGCTTTAAGCTCTTTGAGAACAATATCTTTTACGACAAATTTGTATGTACAAAGCCTGCCATTTATTGAGAGCTTACTATGTGCCAGGTACTGAACTAAGTCCTTTAGGTACATCTTATTTTTGTCTTATAACACCTGAATAAGTAGGTTAACTCACTTTACAATAATTTGCCTATCATATAGCTTATAAATGATGAAATCAGAATGCAAGCTCCATTTAACTCAAGGCCACCTGTTATGTTTCCTGTACCAGTGCAACAACAACAACAACAAAAAGATAATAATTAAAAATGTTAAGTGTTTATTGAATAACAAATAATGGGGATATGAACTTGAATAAGATATAGTCCATGTCCTCAAGGAACTTACAGGCAAGTCAGAAAAGTAAAGCAGTGATTAGGGTGCAGTGTTAGAAATGTTAGGGCAAAGATATGGACCTGGTGCCAAGGGAGCCCAAAGGAGAGGCACTTACATCAAATCAGTGGGGAGAGGCAGAAGGCATCCTTCTTTGAAGAGGTGGAGTTTGGAGCTGAAAGCTGACGGATGAAATGGAGTTGTCCAAGTGAGCACGTGGGGTGCATTCCAGCCAGAAGGAAGAGAAAAAGTGGTTTTGTATGTCTAGATAGAAGGCGTGACTGTGATAGGGGTAAAGTGTCAGGGTTAGGATCCAAACAATTAAGGGATTTGGATGCGAATCTTAGCAATTTAAACTTTATCTTGAAAGCAACTGGGGATTTAGCACATTTAATCACAGTAGTTTCTTGATTACATTTGTGTTTCGGAATGATTAATCTGGTAAGTAGTGTGGAGGATAAAATACAGGGAGGCAGAGGGGAGCCCCTAAGACATTTCACTTTTTTAATAGGTGAGGAGGACCTACGTAAGTCAGTGGGGTTGAAAGGTAGGGGATGGATTTGAGAGATGTTGAGGACGTCTTGGTGACTGAGGATGGATGGGAAGTTTGGTGAAAGGGTGACCCTAAGGTTATGGTTTAGGCAGATGTCATTGATTGCTAAGATAGCAAGTGCAGGAGGAGCAGATTTAGGCTAGAGTGCTGTTTGGTTGGGGGTGTGTCAAGGTACATAGGATGAGTGTCTAGAGAGCAGCTCCATGGGTCTGTATCTCACTGGCAGGGACTAGGTGTGTTCTTTGTATGAAATAATAGATCCGGATACCACCAGAATGTCAGTGGTAGCATATATGAGAGTTGAGTCGTATCAGTCAAGTATCTTGCCTCTGTCATACATGCACCTGGCAAGGTGTAGCAGTTTGAACCTAGGTCTGTATGGCTTCTAAGCCTAGGAACATGCTACTGTTTCATGCTGAAAACCTGCTTATTTTATTCCTTTGCTTATGTTGCCTCCCAAAGGATAGATTATGGTTCAGTTATTGATTTTGTGATTTCTTTCTTCAAGCAGTTATTGGCCATGGTCTAGGTATGATCACGTATCAGTCCCTACACTGTCCATGTGCATCCTTCCATACATTCTGATGCCAATCTAATGTGAGGTTTTCTTAGTACAGTCTGGTCTGGAGATTATTGTTGGCTATTCTTAATAGTAAAAGAATTTATGATAATGAGGAGTGTACTGCTTCCTTTCAGCATTGCTGCTTATAGTATTTTTATGAAAGACGTTGAGGGGAAAATTACCTAAGATTTATCCCTCTCATCCTAGTCCCAAGATATTGTTGTTGAAAATTGTCTTAATATAGAAACCCTAAGTTTCTAGATAAATTTGTAATCATGAGGTTCAGTAGTAGCCTTAGCAAGCTTACCTCCCAGCCAAGCCTCATCCCAGCAGGAGAGCTGTTGGACAAACAACAGCCTTACTTGTCCCATGATTGGCATAGTAAGGGCAGGCAAACAACCTGGGAAGTGACTTTCCACAGCTTGACCTTTCAGGAGACTTGGCCAAATGTGGGTATTCCAGGTGGTGTGCAAAAACACTATAGATAAGTATTCACGATTGGATTTCTTTTATTCTTTTTCTTTTAGGCAACCTCCCGACTTCTAGTAAATTACCCAGAGCCCTATCGTTCTCAAATACTGGATTATCTTTTTAAGGTAATGAAAAAATAATTGTTTAATCATACCTGTGATATTTTAGAACATGTACAGTAAATTTATCAGCTTCACAATTCTAGCTTTTGAAAAAAATGGCAAGTTACTTTTGGAATAAGTTGCTATTTGAAGCTTTGCTTTTGTTTTTGAATCTATAAAACCGAAGGCAGTAATTAGGAATTGCCTTGAAGCTTCATCAGATGAAGCACTGTGTTAATACTGTGACTTCTTTCCACAGCCATACTTCGGTGCCTCATTGCATATTCTAAAAGTTGAAATAGGTGGTGATGGGCAGACCACAGGTAGGAGAATTTGGGATACAGGATTTTTCCCCCTAACATTTTAATCTATACCTAACCATATGGACAATGATTTCAGAGTATGTAGAAATAATACCAACGCTTTTTAAGATTGATTTTTGCCTAGTAGATTGTTTCTTATTATTCCTTTTTAAATTGTAGTTATTTAAAAAGTTATTTAGAAATACGGATTTCCATCAAAAGTAGTATTCAGACTTTAAATTGCTTATATAGTTGAAATAGTAGTAAACAAATCCACAGATTTCTAAAAACTTTATATACTAGACAGATCATAGGAAAGCTTGGAATTTTATTGAGAAGTTAAAAAAGAAAGATTTTACAATAATTTTGTATAGAACATTTAAGATGTTACTAACTTTAAAATGTGTGGTAAAATATAAGTAATCAGTATGTGTCAGATATGTAGCTCTTTTTTTCTTTTAAAGATAAAACAAGTTTTCATCACTAAATCTTTAATTTTTATCGTCACTATTTTGATTGGCTTTGTGTAGTGCATGCTATCAGTTAGTTTATAGGCCTTTGGTTTCCAGGAAGAAGAAAAAATTTTTAGTTCTTTCAATGATTAGATATGGCTTAATATTTATAAGTCAAAGTTGATTATAATGAACTCTAGAATATTTTCTGTATACTTGTGTTCCTGCTAATCATTTGGAAGTTTTTGTTAAACAGTTATATCTGTATTGTGGAATTAGTGTTTCTGTTGAGAGAAAAAGTGCAAATCAAAAACAAAAGAAAACCCCTATAATGGAAACTTTCTCTAAGCTATTAGAAGAGGACATGTATTTTATTACCAAAACCATTTAGGCAGAATTGATAATGACTGGTTGCTGAAGCTAAATTATAGGTAGAGATACATAAATAGGCAGTTCTTGTGAATTCTGATGTTTGCCTTCAAGAAGAAACGAGCAAGGGCTCCTCTTCTTAGAAGGCCTTACTTAGCAAGGGCAGATGTTTGTGACCTGTGGGAACGCATGAGGACTTTGATGTCAGTGACCTACCCTTAAGCTATGATGATATCTCAACTAACTATAGATGTTAGTATGGAATTTTGTTATTGTCACAGTAGGGATGTGTACTCGTTTCTTTTTTCTCAAAACTCATGCTATATCAAGACACATTATAGGCTTAAAGTGTGGGATATTTCTCTTAATTCTGCTTATAATAGAAATTTGTGGTTTTATTATGTAAGATCTTTACTATGCTTAAGATAATGAAAAAGGATGAAATAATACACTTTGAGCATCCATCCTCAAGTTGTGTAAGATTATTCTTATTTGCCCAGCTTCAGGATTGGAACTAGAATACCACTTTTGTGAAGTGTGTGTGTATGTGTGTATAGGGGAGAGTGGTCCTAGGAAGTACCACTCATGGATCATTTACTTCCTTTTTTCTTCTCTCATATTCAGATGGCACTGAACCTTCCCACATGCACTATGCACTAGATGAGAATTACTATCGAGGATATGAGTGGTGGTTAATGAAGGAAGCTAAGAAGAGAAACCCTAATATTACACTCATTGGTAAGAAGTGAAGTTTGCAATGCTTCTGCAGTCTCTTTTCCTTTAACTTTTAAGTTCTGAATCATAGTGGTGGGTCTCTATTAATACTGAAGTACTAATAATGTTGCTAATACTACCAGTATGCTTCCAACAACAAAGCATATGCCAAGCATGATCCTTTCTTTGCCCTTGTATATTATGTCAGATCTTTATAATACCTCTAAAATATTATAGTAAGGCTTTACTACTTTCATTATACAGAAGAAGCAGTTGAGGCTTAGAATATGCCATTGACCTAAGGTCACAGACAGTTAGTAATTGGCAAAATCAGTTTTAGAACTTAATTTCATTGTTTTTTTCTGTGATGCTAACTACTTTCCTTGACAAAATCACTCCTCAAAATTTGTAAAAGGGCAGTACTATTTACAGAATTGTATGTTACATAGAGTAGTATACACAAGTAGTTACAAATTGTATATTACTGGTAGTAGTAGACCCCATTTTTAGAAGAGGTACATGAAAAAGCATTTGTTTTTAAACCTCAGTGATGTTCTGGTCTCTGTTCCAAGGACTAGGGATACAGAACAACCCAGACCCCAATTTCTACCCCTGTGTGGCTTAGTTTCTAGTGGCAGGATCATTGGATATTTGTTCAAATGGGACTATGTTCATTCCACAGTTCTGTGTCAAGTGCCTACAGAGCCTGTGAAGTATTTCAGACATCTAGAGTGGTGGGATACTTTCATCATTTGAAATTAATTTGATTTTTTGAAACAGGCTTACATTCAGACTAAGTTGAGTAAAATTAATGATCCATTTTAAAGACTCTATTTTAAGCTATCTTACAAATAATTTTCTTAACAATCAATTTAAAGGACAAAAGTAATATTTTCTAAATTAAAAAGAAAATGAGGAATGAGTGTGTTCTTTCTAAAAAGACTTTTGTGATTCCAGAAATGTTTTGAGCAGTGAAAGGATCACTGAATCAGCACATAAACTTATTCACTGGGCTGCTTCCAACATCAGATCTCGTTTAAATGTTTGAAATCTGGCATGCTAAACCATGTGCTAACAAAGACTTACACAGGATGGGCCTTCATTGTATTTAGCATTTGTTTCCAAAAGTTCCGTTATTTTTATCTCACATTTCTTATGTAATACACTTAGGCATTCCTCCTGAGTTTAGAAAAATAAGCATTTTGTCATTTTGATTTTTACCTTTTCAGTGGTAAACTAGTTTGGTAATATATTTAACAGCTAAGAAACTTAACTGTTTAGCTTATTTTAATATATGGAACAGTATTTGGATTTAGAATTGTAATTAGTGCTTTTCTACTATTCCAATTTTTTTACTTAAAAATAAAAATCAGGGTTATTGGACTTATTTGATATATATCATTTAACAAAGGTATATTTTCCTATTGACTTGTTGTCTGGGCAATCTAGTTTCACTAAATTAGATTGCCTGACTGGTTAGTGTTTTAAGTAGCTTTAAATTGTAAGATGTGCTAGTGAACAAGAAATTTGTGTTATACTTACTTTATAGGAGTAGTTTGGCATAATAAGCCTTTTAGATCTCTTTAATTGGACCTCAGAGAACAGAAAGGAATATGAACATCCTATCAGAGAGTGGAGATGTTGAGTTAAAATGTGTAGTACATTTTGTTCTATTGGTAAGTGTCTTTGAGAGAGGTGTTTCTATTTGTTATTTATTTATTTTTCTTGAAAGAACATGTGGAATTATGGGACCTGACTCTAGAGATCAATAAGGAATTATAGTTTCCAGAGTTTGGAAAGGATTTCAACATTTTTTGTGTGGTATATAATTTTTTCTTTAGTCAGATATGTTTTTGGGCTTTTGCTTAGCTGAGTATTTTTTGTTGTTGTTGTTGTTTACTTATTTTGTTTTGTTTTCAATAGTGCTAGAACTTGTTGCTCCCATTCCATCTTTACCTTTTCCCTTCTCTCTGCAGGGTTACCATGGTCGTTCCCTGGATGGCTGGGAAAAGGTTTCAACTGGCCTTACATAAATCTTCAGCTGACTGCCTACTATATCGTGACCTGGATTATGGGTGCCAAGCATTATCATGATTTGGACATTGATTATGTTGGAGTTAGTAATATATTTAAAATATTCATTTTTGGACATTTATTTGTCATATTCAAAAGTCATTTGAAAATATGGCACTTTGCTGATTGACCATTTTGTGTCATGAGACTAATTTGTTCTGTTGGTATCTGATAACAACACAGAGTAACTACATGTGACCTTTTATTCTTCTTCTTGGCCAATCCAGATTCTTCCCAATTTTGAAAACTGTGCTTTTATTTTTTTTGTACCAATGCAACTCAAATTCTTCTTCTTCAAAGCTTTCCATAGATTGTCTAGTTCTTACAACAATACCATGTTTCCTATAAAGTTTAATGATTATTTTCATTGTTGAGTCTTCTATTGTCCCAAACCGAGGTTTGGCAGACTTTTTCTTAAAGTACCAGAATGTACATAGGTTTGGGTTTGAGAGTCAAAAGGCAATATTAAGGATCAAGGACCATTTTTAGATATTATATAACCATTTAAAATGTAACCATTTAAAACTAAAAATTAGCTCTCAGGCTGTACAAATACAGGCAACGGGCCAGATGTGGCAGACTGGCTGAAATCTGCCTCTACCTATCCGAAACTGTTGTTTAATACATTTTAATGATTTAAAAAGTATGAAACATGATATCCCATCTTTCCAGCTTGTCTGTTGGCTGGCTGGAGGCATACCTCAGACTGCATTGTACACCACAGAGCCTTACACATGCACATAGTGGGTCTCCATAAACATTTGCTATTGATATACCATCTGTCAAAACTGGCATGTAAAAGTTTTCTTGTAGTCATGACTTAGATGAACAGCAAGCAATTATTGAGCTGCTTCTGTGTTTCAGGAACTGTGACTGTAATATGCTACGCACATGGTGATTAGTAAGCTCTTGAGTTCAGTAAGAGAGGTAGACTCTGGAACAGATAAACTACAGTATTACAGGATGATACATGACATGAGGATGAACCAAGGGCTGTAGGAAGCTAAAAGCAAAAATACATTTGTTTTTGCTATCATTTTCCAAATTATAACTGAAAATCAGTTTATATTTGAGAATTTTCTGAAATGTCAGGACATTTTTAACCCATAGTAAGACTAAGTATATGTTTGGGTCAAATAGCTTTCTATTATGGTACGGTCACATTTAGAAATGTTTCTGGTGAATAATGGGTGATTCATATCTCATTTAGACTCTTGATAATCACATGCTATGGTGAGGAGCTTTTTTGATAAGAAACTCCTTTATCATTGGAGGAAAAGAATTATAGTACCTGAATTATAGCTCATCTCTGTTATTAACAATTTTTTCAACTGCAAAATGAAAGTTACAGAAGTTCTCTTTCAACTCTAAAACCCTACATACTTCATGATTTAAACCTAAGAGATTTGTTATGGTCCTTTTATCCATCCTCATTTAGAGTTTGCTTTTGTGATCTAGAATGTCATTGTGATTCTCTGTATGTTCTTAAAAGGATTCCTTCTATACAATGTAGTTATTTGTAATTGGCCTTCATGTGTGCCTGTGGGGATCTTGTCAGAATTATCACAACAATTTCCGTATCTGTTAGTTCTTCAGTGCTTAGTATAGTCCTTGCACACATTGCAATGTCAATAGTAGTTGAATGAGTAAATGAATATTCCATTGTTGGATATCTCTGGAATAAATGACTTTTGAAAAATGACCATAAAATATTTTGGGCTGTAAAGAATAATTTTAAAAAGTTATTTTGTCCTATAAATATATATAAATTCTATGGAAGGATATTCCATAAGGTAAGAAAAATGGCTTATGAGATAATATGAAAGATGAGGGGAGAAAAGGTATCAACGATAATGTCTACTTTCTGACATTTAAAAACTTTCAATTCAGACTTTTTTTTTACTTTTTGTTTTGCAGATTTGGAATGAGAGGTCATATGATACCAATTATATCAAGGTCTGTACAACTTTAATGTCTTTCTATGATTATTAGTAAATAATTCCTTATTGTTCCACACACAGAAATTAGTAGAAATTTGTAGTAGAGACACCATATTTTTTTATACCACAGTTATTTATTTTGCTAGTTGTGACATCACATTCAAGCAAAATCTTAATCATGTTTATATTCCTGATATTAAAGCATATGTAATTCTTTGTAAGCAATGAATTGCCTTTGAGGAGTTGTGTGGAATTTTTCTGTTTTAAAATTAATTTTGGAATTATGATAAACATAAAAACAATTATATCATTTTAGACTTCTAGGACTTTAAGAAGTGTAGCTTTTTTCTTTCATTGTTCTATGTCCAAATTTATAGCATATATTCTCATTCTTGTTTTCTTTTGAATGCCTATTATATGTGTTATATGACACTTCTTTTTGTGATTAGCAAAGAGGTAGCAACTAACATTTGCAAAAATTGTTATTTTTGAGCTACTTTCCCTAAATATTTATCTCCATTTAATTCTCACAACCTCCCTTTTGAGGCAACTACTATTATTGCTATTTTCCAGGGAAGGAAAAACTGAGAATAAAAACTTCTGTCATTGGAAAACAAATGGCAGTTGTGCTTTTCATGTGGAGTATTCTCAGTTCCGTTTGTCTTTTTCCCAAGAAATATAATTTTGTCATTTTATTTTGTTCCAGTTTTTAAAAAAATTTTCTTTGGCTGTTTTGTGTTTTTAAGTAGATAATATCCAATGCATTTTTTTTTCCGTTCATTCACTTAACACCTAGTTTGTTAGGCATCTTGCACATGGTTGGAATGCAAGGATAAGAACTACTGTTTCTGCCCAAAGTGAGTTCATATTGGAGCAGGGTGCAGAGTCAGATATGGGCAACTAAAACATCAGTCATAATTTTTCTAATGGAATAATGAACATGCAGCATTCTCAGAAGGCGCACAGAGGAGATGGCACCCCTGCTGGGATTGATTAGGGCAGTCTATTAGAGGAGGTAACAAGTAGTTGGAATCTTCAAGAAGGGATGGATAGGAATGCCCAAGTTGCTAAGGCAGGGGCAGAGCATGTGCAAGGAAGTGAAGACTGAGAGGTAAAGGGAATTGGGGGAAAATTAAGTCGTGAAGATGGATTAGACAAGGGAGGAAAGTGGGAGCACCGGGCAGAATCAGTAAACGAATATGTTCACAGGAGTACTGGCACATTTTAACCCATATGTATTTGTAGGGGAGGAGAGATAATAGATTTGAGAGGATCTGTTGCAGCGAGAGCCAGGTAACTCAAGGTCAACTCCAGGCTGTAGGCATTACCAGTATGGTGGTGGGCGTGTAGTGGGCAGTGGAGCTAGTATAAATTGAAACACAAAGATTGTTAGTGGAAAGTCATGAATACCGTGAGCACAGGTCTGATGAGAGCAGCAAGAGGACAGAACAGAAGCCAAATTAGTGCATGTGTAGCATATAACCCTATAATCACGTAGATGTGTCACTACAGGGTCTATATAGAGACAGGTGATGAATTTTTTGTCTATCCTAATTTGACATTTCAAAGCTTATGTTTTATTTTCTTGTGATTATACATGTGTCTCTCATGTTCATTCGAGGAAAGCATTAAAAGTATTAGAATCTGGTTTCCATTTTCTTTTAAACTAATGGTCTAGTTTAAATGTCATATATAAGAAGTATTTTTACTATTCAGAGTCCGTTGCACACTAGTGTATTCTAATTCAGCTTATTTGGTTTGAAAGACTAATTGTTGCTCTAAGCCTCATTATCAATGTTTTCAACAGCTCAGACTTCATTTTTTTCCCTCTTAACCTTTAGTTTTTCCTACAGTAAAATGTGTCAGAATATCAAAACTTTTAGTTTGTGTTTGCCATTTTTGCAGCAGGATTTTATTGGGGTTTGTTAAAATGCCTGTTGTAAAGAGTTCAATAATGATGAATGAATGTAGGTGCTCAGGTTGGGTAACCTTAATGAATATATATTCCTTGTAGTATATTAAGATGATCCCATTACTGAGCAGTGGGCTCTCTGCTTGACATACATAGAAGTCAATATACTATGGCACTAGCATTTGAGAATATAAAAAGCTTTATTGTGAGTGGATTGGCAAAGGAGAGAGGAGGTAAAGCTCAAATCTATCCCCTCAGCTGTGGGCAGAGCCAGGTTGTATATAGGCAGAGTATAGCAACGAGGGAGATGGGGAAATACAACAAGGAGTGATCTGAATGGATAATGCAATTAGGTAATGTCGGGTCCTTAGCTATAAGGACGAGTCCATAATGTCAAGTCCATAATGCAAACTGGGCACCCCTTGCTTCTTAATTTGGTTCCTGTTTCTCAATCTGAGCCCTTGGGCTCCACCTCTGGTTGGCTTTTTTTTTGTTCCTGCTGGCTCTAGAGTCATGACTAGGGCATGCTTGGTTCATCTGGGCATGCATGCTCAGGCTGCCATCTGGGGGTCTATTGTAGCCGAAAAACACTTCATCACTGTTATATTTTATTACAACATTGAACTAGATTAGACAAGTTCTACAGTTAAAACCTCTGGAAGGAATAAGGGTTTGTTTTTAAAGGTAGAAATAAATATAATATAAACAAGCAATTTATGTAAATGCTAATGCTATTTGCATTTATTGTAAGATAAATTGTAAGATGACAATGATAAGTTATATAAATTGTAAGATGACAATGCTATTACTTCTTTTTTATGATTTCTTTTGATTATTTTTATGATTTATTCTGGTTTTCAATGATATTCTTGGGGTTTTGAAATTGTTTGGAAAATCCCATTTGGGGTAATGGATGGAAATGGACTTTGAGTCTCTGGACCCTCATTCAGTTCAATCAGAATAGCTTTCATTTATCTTATAAATAACATTTCCATCTAAGCTTTTTCTGGAAGAGAAGGGTTTTACAATGAAAACATGCATCTGAAAATATGTTAGATAAAACCTTGCTCAAAGAATGCCGCTATTCACACTGACTTTGGGATGGAAACTTATTTAGAAATCACAGCTTATAGACTTGTACATTTCGGAATGCTATTCAAATACACTGTATAAAACAGCACGCAGTCTTACTGGGGATCTTCTAGGAATGGGACTGGAAAAACTAGACACATCCATAGTGATAGGGGCAAATTTGACTGAAGTTTCTCTGTAAGAATAACAGAGAACTTCAGTGTGATGAAACTCAAGATTATTCTACTAGAGGGCTGGGCACGGTGGCTCACGCCTGTAATCCTAGCACTCTGGGAGGCCGAGGCGGGAGGATTGCTCGAGGTCAGGAGTTCGAAACCAGCCTGAGCAAGAGCGAGACCCCGTCTCTACTATAAATAGAAAGAAATTAATTGGCCAACTAATATATATAGAAAAAATGAGCCGGGCATGGTGGCACATGCCTGTAGTCCCAGCTACTCGGGAGGCTGAGGCAGGAGGATTGCTTAAGCCCAGGAGTTTGAGGTTGCTGTGAGCTAGGCTGATGCCACGGCACTCACTCTAGCCTGGGCAACAAAAGTGAGACTCTGTCTCAAAAAAAAAAAAAAAAAAAAAGATTGTTCTACTAGAGAAGTGGTCTCCAACCTTTTTTGGGACCATGTACTCATTTCATGGAAGACAATTTTTCCATGGGATGAGGGTGGGGAAGGAGGGTAACAAAGAGAGGGTTGAGTGAGGTGGAGCTCAGGTGATGCTGGGGGAGGGAACCGATGAAGAAGGGAATGGCTGTAAATACAGATGAAGCTTTGATTGCTCACCCACTGCTCACCTCCTGCTGTGCACCCCCTACCTGCTCCCTTGCCCCTGTTCCTAAGTTTCACGGAAGACAATTTTTCCACAGATGGAGGTGGGTGGGATGGCAGAAGAGCTGGTCCTTAAATGGGGGTCCCTAACCGGGGCTTGGAGACTGCAGTATTGGGGGATAGAGATTCTCAGTCCTCTTGAATTTTGAGAGCTGGTCTCTGTTTTCTAATAAGGATCTGTACATATTGCTTCCGGGTGCCTTAGGACCCAGCTGACCCTGTTGGAAAGATGACCTTGGATTGCCACTCTGATTCTCACCATATTTTCTAAAATGCCATAGTGCATCTGTTTTAAGAAACCATCCATTGAAAAGTATACCATGGATTAAATTAGAGCTTTTATTATTTGTCTCTTTTCTAAAAGAGCACATTATTTGGAAATTTCCCAAGTTCCTCAAAGTTAGAATGTGAAAATAGAGCTTGTGAAATTCTTTGTTCTTTCTTAATTATTGGGACAATATTATCGAGCTCCTGCTTCTATGTACCAGATGGTTCCAAGTGCTTGGGAGCCTAGTGGAAAGCTTATTTGTATACATTTATCAAGAACTGCTTCTGGTATGAACTTCGACTCTCTTGATCCTGGATAAAATGATGTTTCCTTTTCTCTGCTTCTGATTTACATGTAGGGCAATCCATCCAATTTGTTACGTACCTGATTTCTGATCTTCTAGTACACCCTATTAATTTTGGTGTCTTGGTGAGTGTGTTTGGTGAGGACTCCAACTTGTGCTTCTTTTAGGGTCCTCATGGGGCCCAAGTATAGCATCAAGCACCAGAGTGGGAGCTCAGTTTGTGCTTTGTCAGTTTATTTCCTGTTAGAATTTAGCTTGTTACTTTTAATTTTTGAGGGTTGACAGTCCTACAGGTAGATTTTATTTTCTCTCCTGTTTTTTGTGTGAAATACTTGAGAGTAAGAATGGAATATTTCTTATTTCTACTTCTATTATGGTATAAAATATTAAGAATTTCAATACTTTCAATAAAGGCAGAATATTTAAAGACATTGGAAAATACTTAAAATGATGAGTTAAAGCATTTTACTGGTATGTTTAATAAGATTCCCATTTTATTATGTTGTCTGCACAGGAAAAATTCCCAGAAGAATGCATAGCAAACTAATAGTGGTTATTTCTGGGTAATACTATTTGACTATTTTTATTTCAGTTCTCCCCCCATCCCCAGATATTTCTGTGTTTATAAGTTTAAAGTAAGAAGAAAAATCCTATAAAACATTTTATCCCTTTGTTTTTTTTTTCTTTTTACATTCTCATGAACTAGGTTATCTTAATGATAATGTTTTTATTTTCCACACGAGGCATGTTTCTATTGAAAGATGATATTAAAACTATTATGCAGAATGCTGATTTTTGAAGATATATGAGCTATCTTGGTCATAATTCAAAAGCTAAAAACTTAGTTTGTAACCTTTCTTGTGTTTTGTTTATCATTCCAAAAGGTGTTAAGAAAAATGCTGAACTATCAAGGTCTCCATCGAGTGAAAATCATAGCAAGTGATAATCTCTGGGAGCCTATTTCTGCTTCCATGCTGCTTGATGCTGACCTCTTAAAGGCAATTGATGTTATAGGGTAAGGAATGTTTTACTTTGAAAACTAGCAGTTTCTGATTGCTTGCTGTGGGTAAGACTGTGCCTTTGTTTTTGCTACCTTCTCTCCATTTTGTTACATTCTCAGAAGATAGCTCTCTTGTATTAACTAAAGCATGTATAGCTCATAATTTATTACTTTCTCTTTGAATATATGTATTTTGGGATCTCTACATGACAATGAAATATATTGGCAACTTCTTAAAAATATGTTGATGTTTGGAGTAATACAGTACGGTTTTGTTTAGATCAGGGGGCACAATAGTGCTGTATTTAATTTTAGAAATTCTGAAGGCAATGTTGTGAAATTATTTCCTAATTTTTAGGTTTCCTGCGGCTGGGAGTTCTTGCATGAACACTTTTGTAAAGGAATGGTTCAGTATGATCACTGACTGTAACTTTTATCATGTCTCCTTCCTAGTATAGTTTTGACCTTACTCCTTAATCCATTCTGTTTTTCTTTAAAATTTTCTTCATGTCACCAGGTGTAGATGTAGTTCATTTTAATTGTTTAGCATCCAATTATAGTAATATACCACAACTTACCTGTATATTCTTTGTTAATGGTCATTTGGATTGGTTCCATTTTTTGGCTATTATGGTATCTTGGAATTTTTTTTCAGAAAGCATCTATTTCTTGGCTCCTACCTCCATAGGAAGAGTATACCTTGCTCTCCCATTCATGTTGTGCTTGGCTTGTGTTGTATCTGCAGATTTCTGTCTTGCAGTTATAGAACTTTGTGGGGTCTGTTTCCTCTGGGATAGACCTGTTTTCCTACTGATTAAATGGTTCTCCCTCACTCTAAGTGTTACTGCCTAATAATATTCACTTACTCAATTTAGATTCTACATCAAGCAGCTTATTTTCGTGGTGAGGCTTTACTATTCCCAAAGGGATTGTTTGCTATCTTTTTCTGAAATTGTTAAGGGTTTAATCCCCTGTTGTCTAATATAGTAGTTACTATATTAGAATGTAGTAGCTACTACATTTGTTTATGGAACACCTGAAATGTGGCTGGTATGAATTTAGGTTTGTTATAAGCATAAAATACTCACTGGATTTTGAAGTCTTAATTTAAAAAAAACTAAAATATCTATAATTGTTTTATTTTGATTACTTGTTGAATGATGAAATTTTGCATATATCGAGTTAGAGTATATCATTAAAATTAATTCCCCTATTTCCTTTTGCTTTTTAAATTAATTTTTTTCATTTATATCTTTTATCATGGTAAGAATCTTTTGCTATTTTTTGATGTGGCCACTAGACAATTTAAAATTATGTGTGTCGCTCACATCATATTTTTATCAGACAAACATCTGGTTTGAATTGTCAGTGTATTATGTTTGATCTCTTGGTGAATTCACTATTTTTGTCATTCATCCCCAACTTGAAGCTTGCTAAGACATTTCCAATTTCATGAGTTGTTATTCAGTGCTCCCATTTAGGGTAAGGCCTGGTCATTTAGGGGTGAATACTTACAAGTTCCCTTTTACTTGCATAGTTTCCATAGACTATCTGTTGATCCTAGGCCAGTCCTGATGCTGTCTATCTCTTGGGGATTCCCTGTCATCTAGTTTTGATGAGGATATTATCTATGGGTTTTTCCCCCCATCATCTGGTTGGTTTGGTTTCAGGAGGATTACTAGGGAGTTTCAGAAACTGGGCTACTATTATGATCTGCCTTGTCCAGAAGTTCTAATTTTTTAACATATAAATACATTGCTTTGTTAGGAAACACTATAAAATTGGTTTACTTTCAGTGATCTTAATTTTATTTGTCATTGAAGTTTGAAAAATCATTCCGTGAAATGGTAGCGAAATTTTACATTAAATTATATTCTTATGGAGTATGAATTTTGTTGTACTAGCAATACATTTGGACATTGATTTTAGAATCAGTTCTGTCCTTCTTTGCTCAAATCATATGCTCAGGTTTTGAACATAGTGACAGTTTCATGATTTTCTGAGTGAGGGATAGACCACCTATTTCTATAACTTCAGTAGAGATATAATTTCAGATTATAAAAATAATGTGTGTTCATTATAGAAAATTTGGAAAATGTAGGAAACTATAAAAATAGAATTAGAATTTACTCATAATCATAACATCTATTGATCATTGGTAACATAATAGCATACTACTTTCCAGGATTTTCTTTTCTTTTTTTTTTTTTTTTTGAGACAGAGTCACGCTTTGTTGCCCAGGCTAGAGTGAGTGCCATGGCGTCAGCCTAGCTCACAGCAACCTCAAACTCCTGGGCTCAAGCAATCCTGCTGCCTCAGCCTCCCATGTAGCTGGGACTATAGGCATGTGCCACCATGCCCGGCTCATTTTTTCTATATATATATATATTAGTTGGCCAAATAATTTCTATTTTTTGTAGAGACGGGGTCTTGCTCTTCCTCAGGCTGATTTTGAACTCCTGACCTCGAGCAATCCACCCGCCTCGGCCTCCCAGAGTGCTGGGATTACAGGCGTGAGCCACCACGCCCGGCCTCTTTTCTTTTTTTTTAAATATACAAATATATTTTAACCAGATACACCAAATATACGTTTGGCTGAATGAAAACTAGTTGAGTCTTAAAAATTAATACCAGGCTGAAGCACCAAGGCTGAATATCATGGTCATAGAATGAAGTTGTGAGATACAGGAATAAATCTAAAATGTAAAAATGTATTAAATTTGTATTATTAAAAACATTAGTAGTCAGATTTTCCAAGTTGGGCCTTTTAGTGCCAAAATAATAATTTCTTAACCTTGTTATGTGCTAGGTTGCTTTTGGGTTTTTTTTTTAGTGCAGATTTGCAATACTAGACAGATGCCCGAGTTCAGTGACTGAAAAATCCTGGTGGGACCTCATTTTTCTCTAATACTTCTTTCTATATATTCTATATTGTATATTTTCTTATTCGTGAAATCCTGGGATGCCAAATTCATGTTGTGTTCTAATTAATCTTCCCAAACAGGACATTTTCTTAAAATATTCATGACCTAAAATGGCATTAAATAATTAAAAAGTAAAACAGGTCTTCACAATAATTCTTTTATTTATTTATTTATTTTTTTGAGGCAGATTCTCACTCTGTCATCCTGGGTAGGGTACACTGGCATCATCATAGCTCACTGCAACCTTAAACTTCTGGTCTCAAGTGATCCTCTTGCCTCAGCCTCCTGAGTAGCTGGGACTACAGGTGTGCACTATGATGCTCAGCTAATTTTTCTATTTTTAGTAGAGACAGGGTCTTGCTCTTGCTCAGGCTGGTGCTGGTCTGGAATTCCTGAGCTCAAGCTGTCCTTCTGCCTTGGCCTCTCAGAGTGCTAGGATTACACACATTCTTTTGAGGTTATGGATACTACTACACCAAACTACAAAGATTAGAATTATTATTAATATATAATCCAATCTCCATTATTCTGCCTGCATTAGTAACTTTTTTGGTAAATAATTGTTGATCTAAAAAGTGTACACTCTCATTCCTACAGTTATTTATTTACTTATTTACTTACTTACTTTACTTACTTACTTACTTACTTACTTACTTACTTACTTACGGCCCAGGCTAGAGTGAGTGCTGTGGCATCAGCCTAGCTCACAGCAACCTCAAACTCTTGGGCTCAAGCAATCCTGCTGCCTCAGCCTCCTGAGTAGCTGGGACTACAGGCATGCGCCACCATGCCCGGCTCATTTTTTCTACATATATTAGTTGGCCAATTAATTTCTTTCTATTTATAGTAGAGACGGGGTCTCGCTCTTGCTCAGGCTGGTTTTAAAATGATAGCAAAGAAAATAAAGGAGGATAAAACCACTACAGCACCTAGAATGGTAAAGAAGATCATCAATGGTCTTCCTCCTGACCATTGCTGATCTTCTGACCTCGAGCAATCCACCCGCCTCAGCCTCCCAGAGTGCTAGGATTACAGGCGTGAGCCACTGCGCCCGGCCACATTCCTACAGTTATTTAGTTAAGGTGTTCTCATTATTGTATTAACTGTCAATCTATTTTATATTTTACATTTCAAATTTCTTAACTGTTTTTATTCCTATAATCAGTAGCTTCCACAGTTGTCATTATGGCAGTATTTTACTCTTGCAATAATAAATATGCATCTATACTTCAACTGACTGGCTTGGGTCCCCTCAAATGCTAGACTGAAGGAGGGGTTAATTTTCTGGGATAGTTTTTCAACCTCTGCACTACTGATATTTTCACTAGATAATTTCTTGTCATGCATCTGTCCTAGGCATTGTAGGATGGTTGACAGAATTTCTGGCCTCTGTTCACCAGATGCAAGTAGTAAATCTCCCCTGCTCCAGGTGAGACAATTGGAAAAAAAATGTCTCCAGATATCGCCTCCCAGGTTGAGAACCACCACTGCTCTGAAATAATAATTTCTAGTTTTCCCAAGGTAGTGTTATTCCCTTTATTCACAAAAGAACCATCTGTGGGTTTTTGTTTTGATTTGACTGGGAGTACATGCCAAGTTGTCTTTGTCTACTAGAGGAGAGGATACTAGTTTATGTAATAGACTCATTAGTTTTAATTTTGGCCCCCTCTTTACTCCCTTTGTACTGTCCCAAGCTCTCTAGCCTCCCTTAAGAAGTCCTAATCTTGTCTACACTTCATTATCCTCTTGGAGTGTTCCGGGCTGTGGCCTCCTCTGCTACCTCCATCTATCAAAATACTTCCATCCATTTTGTGGTTTCCAGAAATGGATTGAAATTTCTCATCCCTTGCTGATCTTCCTTACCATTCTAGGTGCTGTAGTGGTTTTATCCTCCTTTATTTTCTTTGCTGTCATTTTAAGGACATCCTGAGACAGAAGCACATGCTTACATTCACCTGTCGTGTACCTGGGAGCTGCACAGTTGTTTTAAAATAGAAACCTTGGAGAAGACTTGTCTTTTTCTACACTCAACAAATATATTTAAGTGCCATGTTCTGACCTTTTCCCATTGACTCCTAACCTTTCTTTTCTAGGGCTCATTATCCTGGAACCCATTCAATAAGGGATGCGAAGTTGACTGCAAAGAAGCTTTGGGCTTCTGAAGATTTTAGCACTTTAAATAGTGACATGGGTGCAGGCTGCTGGGGTCGTATATTGAATCAGAATTATGTCAATGGCTATATGACTTCGTAAGTTATTAAAAATCTTTTAGGGTTTTTATTATGAAAAACTTATATAATAAGTAGAAAAATGAACTTCTGTATTCTCACAATCTAGAATCAGTGATTATAAACATTTTGCCTTATTAACTTTATCTGTACCTATACCTATGACTAATCTATATCTATGTTTTTATATTTCAATGTAGTCTGTATTAAAAATGTCGGGTTTATTGAAGTATAACTTATTTATAGTGAAACGTGCAGCTCTCTGATTTTTGACAAGCTACATGTTTTAGTGAATATTTATAAAGTAAATTATATATCTTGATACTTCACAATGTATAAATATTTGAGCATGTGTCACCAAAACATATGGATATTCTTCATCATGACCACAGTATCATTTTCATACATAAGAATACTTTTAAGTATTTCTAATACCTTATTTATATTCATGTTTTTCTAATCGTCCCCCCAATGTCATTTATAGCTATTTTTAAAAAGTAAGATCTAGTCAAGCACCATGCATTGCATTTAGAGCTTATGCCCTTCAAGTCTCTTTTAATCTAGAATAGTTTCCTTAATCCTCCTTTTTTTAATGACAGTGATTTTTTGAGAGGACCAGTCCGGTTGTCTTGTGGACTGTCCACTTTCCAGTCTGCCTGATTGAATCCTCATCACTTAACTTGTGTAATTGTTGGTTTACAAAACAGAGGTTCTTAAGTGAGAACACAAGTCTTTTTATTTCTAATTGAAGCATTTCTTAAATGCTTTGAAAAATACTTTAATTGTAATAAGGTTCAAATTAGCTTTCTAAAATAATGATAAATAGAACAAAAACAAAACAATATATGTATTTTGTGAGTTGCTATGTATTACATTTATTCTTATATTTTTGGAAGAAAAGATGCATATCATGGAGAGTTTGGTTGTACTAATTTGGTATTAAAAGTAATGCATGTTCATGGCAGAGAATTTAGAAACTGAAGATAAGTACAAATAAGAAAACAAAATCACTCATCATCTTGCCATCCAAAAATAACTATCCTTAAAAATTTGGGGGCATATCTTCCTATTTATATTTATATGTATACATTTTTAATACAAAATTGAGACCATACTATATGTTTAGTAAGCTGCTTTTCACTTAACATGGCATTATGACCTTTTCCTCATATTTAAGTATATTTCTACGTCATTATTTTGAATCCTTATGTATATTCTGTTACATAAATTAGTATTTCCCAAACTTGCCTTGTCTTAGGAAACACCTGAGATACTTGTTCTACTGATTCCTCAGTAGCTGCCTAGACTTACTGAGTTGGAATGTACAGGGAAGGCTCCTGGGATTCTGTCTATATGTTCAGTGTCCCCAGGTGATCTGATGCCACACAAGTTTGGGAAACACTGATGAAGAAAATATTAAATATATTATACCTCATTGAATATTCCCCTCTTCTTTAAAATAGTAGTTGTCTCTATTTTAATTAATAGCTTTGTACAAACTGAAGTGATCAATTGTATACAAATATCTTCACATACATCTGTGATTATTTTCTTAGGGTGTATTCTTAGAAATGGAATGTCTGGGTCAGAGATATATATATATAGGTTTTGAAGACTTTTGTGCATATTTTGGAAAATTCCCTTCTGAAAGTTTGTCTCAATTTATACTTCTATCATGAGCCAGAGAGGATACCAGGCATCTTTCAAATCATGGGAAAAATCATGAAAACTTTTGAAATGTTTACTGGTAGTTAAGGTTTTTTGAAAATTGGGACCATTATTTCTACTATGTGTTGACAAAATTAAAAGGCTTTGATTTGCTCAGAATGCCAGTCTGTCATTTTATGGCAGATGAGGACGTGATGAAAAATTAACATTCTGTGGGTAAGCTCTGTCTTTTTTTTAGCTGTGAGGATCCAGCAGTACCAGGTTTGAGAACTTCTTTTTTGCCCTTGGATTTTCTGAGAACCGCAGAGTCATAGTCTTAGGGTTCAGCACCTGCTGTGGACTATTAGTGCCTGATCATTTGAAAGAGTAGGCCAAAAAACAGACCAGAAGCTGATCCAATTACTACTTACAGAGTAAGAACAATACAGACCATGTTCTGTACTCTTCATGTACATTGGTACATTTAATCTTCACAACAGTCACGTGACCTAGGTACAATTATCATCCTCATTTTATAGATGAGGAAACTGAGGTCCAGAGAGGTTAAGTGGTAGAACCATGATTTGAACCCAAGCAGTCTGACTCTAATAGTTTTCAATTGTAAAACTTTGGAATAATTCAGACTCAAGTTCATAAAAATTATGTCATGAAACTGGGCTATTAAGAAGGCTGACTGTTGAAAGGAAGGCAGATATGGATAAAGCCTTAATTGTATTTGACTCAAATTTGTGACATGTCTGGTACTGGAAGGGCATGATTCATCTTCTGGCTATACCATTGTTTAGTAAAAAAACTTATACATCCCATACGACATTTGTATTTTTTTATTATGTAATTCACCATTAAAAATATTGAAATGCATCCAACACTGAATTTTTCAAAATGTGAGTGAATTTAGGCAAATTATATTTTCTTGTTTTGGGTGGTCATTTTATGGTCATTTACATATATTTATGTAACCGTGATAAGGTTTCTTTACTCCAGGTTTTTAAACATTGACATTTTTATCACAAGTTATTATGGTGTTTCTCTTTTATCAAACATATCTTTTAGCACAATTGCTTGGAATTTGGTGGCTAGTTACTATGAACAGTTGCCATATGGGCGATGTAGCTTGATGACTGCCCAGGAGCCATGGAGTGGGCACTATGAAGTAGCATCTCCTGTCTGGGTAACAGGTATGGTTCCCATTCCATCCCTCACTCCCTAAATTCCTCTCTAAGACACAAAGCAGAAAACACCTAGAGGAGATTATATAAACTGTGTGTGTGTGTTCATCTGTGTTTTAAGTGTATATCTCAATTTTAAGAAAGATTTGCCAGTGTTTTATAAGACTATTTGGGGTAACTAGACTACTTTCTGTATTTCATTCTTGATTATTCTAAGACAAGGCTCTTAGAAAAGAATAGGACAGGAGGAAGGGGGAGTGGAAGGGTGGGAGCTGTCCAGTGATGGAGAAAGAAATAAATGATCATATAAGTGTATAATTACGAATTATGATAATGGCTAATAAAATAATGTCCTTTCAAAGATTTATTCCAACTCAGAATATCTAAAATTCTTAAAGTTACTTTTAGAGTCACTTTGTTCTTTTATATTAATATAGTTTTGTTGATTAGAATAGTGTGCTAAGACAATCAAAGATGAGTGATTAACACATTCTATTGAGTCATTAAATGAATAAATGTAAAAGTTATGTGAAATATCATGGCTTTAGATTGTTCTTTAAATCTACTGATGTACATTGTGAAAAGGTAATTTTTAGAAAAGGTAAAATCATGACTCTCATATAGATTAAAAACAAATGAACGCATGTGGAAGATTTATGTTATTTATGTGATAGGAGGGAACCAGGCAGATGTTAGAACCAGTTCAAAAGGGAAGGTGAACATAGCACAGTTTTTGTGGAGTAAAGGAATTTGAGGTGAATTGCACTTGGAAGCAAATTTCCCACACAGAGGGGAAATCAATTAAATCCCTGCCAGACAAGACATAATTTGTATAACTTCAAGACAATGAACAGGGCTATAGATAATACATTCATTTTTATTGAAACACAAAAGTTTTTCTACAGTATTATTCATTAGTCACAAGTAAAGTTAAGATCATGCAGACAATGGATTGCATGGTAATACTTTTTTTATGAAGGGATATAACCATACTATAATAATAATGTAATTTAAACAAAATTTTAAAAATCTGTTGCTGATAAATATTAAAGTTTTTTTACAAATATTTTGTAAAAGATCATTTATGACCATTTTGTTTTAAAATAATAATCTTTTCAAAAAATCAATTTCTTTAAAGGTTAGATGCTTTCATAGCAAAATTATGAATTCAAAGGGAATTTATTTTTATTTTAAGCTCATATTTTGGTGGTTTTCTTTTTTAGTTGATATGTTCTCCTCAGAGAGATTTGTAATCATGAAATTAACCCTGATATTATTCTAAACTTCTTAAATTGTTCTCCCAAAAATATGGAAAAGTTAAGCTGGACTTTTATGTCTCGGTTGGCTAACTCCTTAAATGTTGAAATTGTTCATCCCACATAATCTAAATGAGCTAATGTACTCTTTCAATTTTGTGACTTTTGTGGGGGGTTGGGATGTGGAATATTGTTTAGTATCTTTTCAGGACCAGCTTAGGAGGTGACCAATACATATATATGTTATGGAAATAAATTTGTTTGAAACCATAAAACTTTTTGAAATGCATTGTTAACTTTTTTTAACCTCTTTTAATGGTAGCTATATTAGGTTGGGTTAAATGGAGATGAACAAAGATTAGGAGGCACTAACTTAATTTTGTTCTTGAAAAATAAGACTGATCTTGAACTGACAGGTTCATTTATTTTTACCTGTCATTCCAAGAATTTTCCTGCAATTGTAGTGTTTAACTGGATTAATTATTTAAAAATTAAAGCATGAAGTTGGCATGTATTTTCTTCTAAAATAGAAAATAGCTTGTTAGAATCAATCAGACTCGAATTGGTAATACAGCTTTATGTTGCTGTTGCAGAAACCCTATTACCGTTTTTATCTTACTTGGATCTTTCTCGGCTTTTCTATAGCTCATACCACTCAGTTTACTCAACCAGGTTGGTATTACCTGAAGACAGTTGGCCATTTAGAGAAAGGAGGAAGCTACGTAGCTCTGACTGATGGCTTAGGCAACCTCACTATCATCATTGAAACTATGGTAAGTTTTTGTTGTTGCTATTGGATTAGTTCATCTCTTTATTATTGGAAAAATAACATAATACAAAACTGAACACCTTAGACAGACAGATGTCAAGATCTTATAGCTTTCAATTAAAAATTTTAGCCGCGAGTCAATAAAACATAGCAACATAACTTACAATTTACATAAAATAGTTAGCTCTGATCTTTTCTCCACTTGGTGTTTCTGGCAAATGGGACAAACAATGTTTGCCATTATTTGTGGAGGAGACCTTCAAGATCTTCCCTTCCCCTGATATGTAATCTTATGGAGGCTGTGGCTTTTTCCTTTTTTAGCCTAAGGCAGTTGCTTCTGAGGGACCTTGAGTCAGCTGATATGAGGGGACCTAGAGTTTAAGTGATTGAGGAGCTGGAGTGGGAAGAGACAAGGTCTGGAAGTGGGGGACAGAGGGATGGGAGAAGATGGGGGCTTCAAGGAAGACATACCAAGGATGCAGGGGAAGTGAATGGGAGAGTGAAGGCAAAAGGAAGAGGAAGGAGGAATAGAAGCACATGGAAAGAAGAGGGCTTAGAAGTGCCAGTTTGGGAGATCTTAAGCTTCCTAAAGAGTTCAGTGAAGTTCTAGCAAGAAGGAAGTAGACAGAGTTGTTAGAACATACAGTCATCAGGGCTTTGAGAGAGGTTTCAGTTGACTAAGAAGTTCCCATGGGAGAAGCAGGATCCAAAAGAGAACAAAGAGGCCTTAAAAAAAATCAATCAATGTATGTATGTATGTATGTATGTATGTATGTATGTATGTATCTATCTATCTATCTATCTATCTATCTATCTATCTATCTATGATAATATATATTATCAGATTTCAACCAGAACAAACAAATGTTCCTGGCAGCATTGAACTCCTTTATAAACTAAATCTATCTATCAGGTTTCTCAAAACTGAAATCAGTAAGCCTTTTATGATCTACCATGGCTGAAAGAGGAATCTTCAAAAGAGAGCATGAAAAGATACAGCCCTTGTAAGATCTAGAACTGCTCCCAAAGATAGGCAAAAGAAAGATGGACACAGATAACCTCTTCGATCCCTTCTCCCCTGAGAGCTGGTAACAGTTGATATGCTAGCCACAAGTGGCGTACAACTCAAATTTTGTCTGGCCACATTCTTGGGGTCCCCAACTTGAAATTGGCTACCTGCATGCACAAACTAATAGCTTGCATGCCTCTGGCAGGTGGAAAGTCAAGTCAAATTCTCAGGACACAAATTGAGACAAACAGGAAAGCAGTAGTTGTCTACAGGAGGGAAAGGATCCTTGGAAAACAATTACAACAAAAATTAATCTATGTGTGCCATAAATGTATCTGGAGTTTAGCTGTGAATTCAAAATTCGATTCAGTTGAAATGCCATTGAGCTTTGCTTTGAGTACGTACATACAATACACATTCAATAAAGGTTATTAAAAAAAGTCTTTTCAAATTTGAAATAAACTCATGCTTGTTACCTAATGTGTACTATTTCTGTTAATCTTGGGGCATTAACTATTTAACTTTTTTCTCCCCTAACATAGCTTGTACATCATTTGTATAACTTATGTGATATTTTTTTTCAGAGTCATAAACATTCTATGTGTATACGGCCATATCTTCCTTATTTCAATGTGTCACAACAATTTGCTACCTTTGTACTTAAGGGATCTTTTGTAAGTAAATATGTGTAACTTTTATTTTTATTTTTATTTGAGAATTTATGTATTCTATCACAGGCTAGCAGTTGTTATGCGGAGTCTTATGTTATGAACTATTAATAGTTTTCATATGAATAGATAAAGGCCCTGGTATCTTCTATTTCCTGATTGGCTTTAGTAAAATGGGATGGAAGCCAGTAGGAGATAAAGCTCTCTGTGGCTTTGAGGAACACTCACAGGGAAGAGAGTTATTCTTGGTAGTGGAAGCATTGTATGGTCTAGGGAGCTTTCAAGCACTGATCTTTAACAGTACTCCATACCAAAAAAAAAATTTTAAAGTCACCAGATTCTTGCTATTTCTACTGATTGTTAGATTTGAATTGAGAAAATAAAGTGTCCTTTTTGATTATTAATGGCAGAGGGATTGTGTTTTAATATCAGAGAATTCTTAAGCTTTTTACATAGGTACAATAATAAGTATTTTTGAAGCAAAGACTTTTTAAATATTTGCCAAAATTCTTTAGTGTTTATAGAAAATAAAGTATTTGCTCAAACAGTGTTTTCCTATTTTCAAAATAGTTACCATTAGTATTTAAAATTTGAGGTGGGTCTTTGGTAAATAGAAATAGAGTATACATTGTCTTTGGCTATTCTTGCTGGTACTGATTTTGGAAATCCTCAAAGGATTTGGTGAATTATTCAAACATGCTTTTTTTTGTCTTTTCTTTCCAGAGTGAAATACAGGAGCTACAGGTGTGGTATACCAAACTTGGAAACCCATCTGAAAGATTTCTTTTTAAGCAACTGGATTCTCTATGGGTAGTTTTAAAATAAATTCCTATATTTTGGGCATTGCAACAGTAAAACAGTAAAAGGGAAAAGAAATTTGATTAATGAATTAAGAATTTTTAACTTTATTTTCTTATGGTTGAGGCAAAGTGGAGATAAAGTTATCCCCAATAGTTGTTTTTTTTAAATATAAATCCCCCTCAAAGCAGTACAGAAGTTTGTATGTATATTGTAGACATATTTGATTCTTAGATACTTAGTTTGTATTGGCAAATGGTGCCGCCATCACCTGGCTGCACAAGTCAGAAATTTAAGTCTCATTTGAGACTCTGTCTTTCCCATTTATCCTCTATATTCCACCATCGGTCAAGTATAGACAGTTCTGTCATTCACATGTTTTTCTTACTCATTGCTTATTCTCCTTTCTCACTGCTACTGCTTGTTTCAGTTCCCCATTAACTCTTTTCTGAATTTCAGAAACTACCTCCTACTTTTCTAGTCCTCAGCCTGACTCTCTAGGCCATCCACCACACTGCTTCCAGAGTGGTATGTCTCAAATGCAGGTCTGATATTTGTCAACATCATGCTCAGAGCACCTCAGTGGTTCTTCCTAGAAATTTACATTCCTTAGGATAACACACAACCTTCATCATGTCCCCTCATGAGGTGGAAGACTGTTTTTTTCTTCAATGCATGTCCTACTGAACTGGCCTCTCTTCACAGATTAAACTTCTTACATTTTTCAAAGCATGTTGTGCCTGTTCATTTACCTCTGTGACTTTGCATTTGCTTTTTCCTTCTCCTGGAATGGCTTTTTCTCATATCTTTGTCATCTTAGGAGATTCTGCTCAAGTGTCACTTCCTCTGAAGCTTTTCCCACCAGTCTTACCTCATAGCCTATGTGACTATGTGTTTACCTAGTTAGACAGGTTTCCTACTACCTGGGACACCTGGAGGATTGGGGCCCTGCCTTATTTATCTTTATATCCCAGATGCCTATTGTAGTTCTTAGCTTCTCATGGTGGCCTCTCAGAAAGGGTTTCAAAGAATGAATGGTGCAAGAAAGCACGATGACTTCACCTTATTGACACAAATCTGCTACTTTTTTTGGTAATTATTAATGTTATGATAATCAACTAGTCACTATCAATGATAGAATATTAAGTTCTAAAAAAACAGTTTCTATTTTTTCTATAACATATTGCTGGAAATAGCATAATAACATTGATTTTGCTCATAGGAACAATGCTAATCATTTGGGGTTATTCCTGAACCAGAATATAGCATCAGGTAGTTCTTAGAACTGACCATCTATTTTCTATTGAAACAAAGATCGTAGCTCCTTTAATTCAAAGTAGAAAAAAAGTGCTCCAAGTTTCATAAAATGGGCATAAATATAATGTCTCCATTGATTCTGTGAAGGATCCCAGTATCTTCAGAGGTCTACATTTAGCACAGAACAATTAAGATAGAGGAAGTGTTCCCATTGGTCACACACTGAGTTAAGCACTTTATAAACATTATGTGGTTTAATCTTCACAACAGCACTATTAAGTGTGTATTTTTCTCCTCATTTTGTAGGTGAGATTGTAGCTTGAAGAGATTAAGTTACCAACATCATAAGTGTGATATAAACCTAACTAGCTAGCTAATTGAAATATATATTGAACGTATGATGAGCGGGATGTTTCTTTCTTAATTATAAAAGAATTTCTGTGATTAGCAGCTGAATCAACAGTGAGATTTTATGGATTTTTCTATCTTAGTAAAGTCTAATATAGAAATAAGCAGGTCTCTTAGTTGTGTGTATTTAATATACATGAGCTTTAAAGAGCTTAAAGTGTAATGGAAAAGAACAGACTAATAGAAAAAGACTTGGGGATCATCTAGTCCTTTTTTATCATGAAGTATAAATCTTTAAAAATCCTTTCTATAAAGTATAGTTTTATAAAGACTTTAAAATACTTCAGAAAAAAGATTCCAAGGGCCTTGGTATTGGTGTGTCTTTCACAAGTGTTTAGGAAGTTCTAACAGAAATGAGTTGGGTTTTTCTTTAAGCTTATTTTTTGAAAAGCTATTTTGCCCCGATGGGAAGAACCATAGCACCCAGCCTTTAATACAGTGGTGTCTTCTTTTTCAGCTGCTTGACAGTGGAGGCATTTTCACCCTGGAATTGCAAGAGGATGAGCTGTTCACGATCACCACTCTCACCACAGGTCTCAAAGGCAGCTACCCACTTCCCCCCAAGTCCCGGCCCTTCCCGAGTACCTATCGGGATGATTTCAATGTTGGTAAGTATTTTTCACAAAAACATAACTTGGTGTAGATCTTCAGCAGTAGTGGGTCTATTTCTACCTGTCAAACTGGGTGCATGATAAAGTGGCTGTCAAAAGCAGGTTTATTTAGCCTTCAAATCTGTTTGTGGTAAAAGGAGACCTAATTTTTAAAATTACTTCAGAGTTAATCTCAGTTTGAGGATCCTGTATTTTTCAGTGCCAGAAAAAATGTAGAGCTCATCGTCGGAATGAAAGTTGTAATTCTAAATTGTTTTTGGTGAAACAAGCTTTGCAACTTTGCTATTGTCCCTTTAGCCATTATTAGAATCTTCCTATCGTGTGGAGTTTAAGGCACATTCATATCTGTCTTTCTGCAGTGCTGGGTGAACTGAATGCTTATGGGCGGTTATGTTATTGTTGGATAATCCAGCTCATTTTATGCCCTCTCGTGCCTGAGAGTTTTTTTGTTTTTATTAGAGCTCTCCTGGTGTTCTAGGAAGATCTGGCCTAAAGTTGTCAGAATAGTTTTTGGTTATAGGTAATTTCAGAAAACCATTTGGAAAAAAGTTAGAAAACATGGTCATTGTGGTTATAGTCCTAGGTCACTCAGTAAGCAACAAAATTTGTTGATGGTGGTGTATAGGATTATGGGTCTCATAGACAGGGTCAGGTGGCTCTATAATCTGCTCCTAAAATCTGAAGCTGTAGGAGAGGAATAGGGAGAAAACTGGCATTGCTAGAGAGTGACTTAAACCTCCTGTTGGCTACAGAGCTGCTTGTTTCACCAAAGATGGAGACTCCTTTGACCTCTCTGGGTCCCTGCCACAGGGTCTCAGCTTCCTTTCTCAGGAAATGATCTATCTAGTTAACTACAATGTAAGGCCTTTGGATACTGGAGTCCTCTCAGATCTCAACTATTTGGATAGTATAGACAAGGGGTCCTCAAACTTTTTAAACAGGGGCCCAGGTTACTGTCCCTCAGACCATTGGAGAGTGTGCACTGTGGACCTGGGATGAATCGGCTGCTAAGCAGGACAGGTAGCTACAGCAAAAACACTAGGCGGGCCAGATAAATGTCCTGGGGGGGGGGGACATGTGGCCCTGTTTGAGGACACCTGATATAGACAATAGTAAGCCTCAGGGGAGATTGGTGGTGGCTTGTTTTCCTGCAACTCTTTGGCCTCTTATATGAATCCATTAAATTGTGAAACACGTGTGTCTTCATAATCTGTTTCACAATTCACTGTTGGCAAATGCGACTGTTCTTGCCTTCAGTAGGTGAGGGATGTGTGTGGGATATGGCCTAGTTAAGGAGATTAGAGAACTTTTGCCAGCAGCAAAACTAATATGTTGTGACCCTGAAGACTAAGAGGCAATTCTAGACCTTCCAATCTAAAGTGTAATATTTTATTGGCTATAAAACAAAATAGAGACTAAAGGTAAAAATTATAAGCCAGGCTCCGGAATCACTTGGTAGGGTTCTTAAATATCTCAAATGAGGTAATGAATGTATAAACACTTGGAAAAGCAGGAAGTTAAAATATGTGTAAGATATGACTAAAATTGTTTTCCAATAGCCTTTGTTATTGTAAGACTGTAATTAAATTTTAATTTAGTAAAACTAAAAAGTGTAGATCTGGCTGAAATAACCTGGTAATATTCTTGAGTACATTTTGAAGTGAGGAGTTTTCAGTGGTCCTCCTTGTTCATGAGGCTAATAAATGTGCAATTGTTAAGTATCTTGAGGACCACAAAGCTGCAAATTGTTTTGTTGCCTCAGTGTCCTTCTCTCAGATTTCCCCAATTTCATAGTGGCAGGAACAGTTTGATTTTAATATAAAAGTTGAAGATTTTGGACCCAATTATAATTTGAGAATTTAGGCCCCAAACTGGTTTTTGTTGCAGTTTAGAAGCAGAAGAAAATTTCTGGATTCTATATTTGATGTAGTAAGGCTTTCTAATGTTCTTTCAGAGGATAATTGTGACCGGTGATTTGGAACTTTGCTTGACAAATATTAGAAATAATAAAACTGTTCCTTACTGAGCCCTTTTAAGGTGCTGGCTTACATACATGTTATCTTCTCTCATTTAATTCTCCTGTCCTCTTACCCACCTAGAAATGAAGAAACTGGACATACAAGGCAGTTAAATAACTTGCCAGGGTGACAGAGTAAGCTGATTTTGAACCTAGGTCTGACTTAATCGTGACCTTTCCTCTTCACAGAATGCCTGGATTAAATGTTACTCAGAGTCTATATGTCAGACCCATCATCTTGTTATGTAATATTGATGATACTCAAATCAGTATCTCCTCATTAGACCTAAACTCTAAACTTTGATTATTAATATTATTTACTTATTTTCCTGGATTATGCTTGAGCCCATTATCCGAAGTGAGGTTAACACAAGATCGGAAGGATAGGCTCCACATGTACTCGCCATCAAATTGGTACTGACTGATTAACACTATGGTGCTCACATGGTAGTAATATTCTCCAGGGATTAGGGGGTTGAGGTGGGGGTAAACTCACAACTAAAGGACACTGGTGAGCATTGTAGAAGGGAAAGGCATGCCTCTAACCCTTGCTAGGGAGAGGCAAAGATATAAAATGTAACCAAATGTTTGTACTCTCATAATTTCCTGGAAAAAACAACAACAACAAAAAACTTCAGGGCTGGACACCGTGGCTTATGCATGTAATCCTAGCACTCTGGGAGGCTGAGGTAAATGTAATTGTTTGAGCTCAGGAGTTCGAGACCAGCCTGAGCAAAAGTGAGACCTTGTCTCTACTAAAAATAGAGACAACTATTTGGACAACTAAAAATATATAGAAAAAATTAGCCAGGCATGCATGCCTGTAGTTCCAGCTACTCGGGAGGCAGGAGGCAGAGGCAAGAAGATCAGTTGAGCCCAGGAGTTTGAGGTTGCTGTGAGCTAGGCTGACACCATGGCACTCTAGCCCAGGTGACAGAGCAAGAGTCTCAAAAAAAACAACCTTCAAAAGTGTTTCAAAATGTATCATAAAATATCAGTGAGGAGAGATTCTGTAAGGATTTGATACTAAACAGAGAATTTATTGTGTTCCAAATAGATTACCCATATTTTAGTGAAGCTCCAAATTTTGCTGATCAGACTGGTGTATTTGAATACTTTATGAATATCGAAGATACTGGCGAGCATCGCTTCACACTCCGGCAAGTTCTTAATCAACGACCCGTCACGTGGGCTGCTGACGCATCCAACACGATCAGTATTATTGGAGATTACACATGGTATGTGAGGTTGATGTCTTCAGTGTAGATCTGGCTGAAATAACCTGGTAATATTCTTGGGTACATTTTGAAGTGAAGAGTTTTCAGTGGTCCTCCTTGTTCATGAGCCTAATAGACATGCAATTGTTAAGTATTATGATGACCACAAAGCTGCAAATTGTTTTGCTGCCTCAGTGTCCTTCTCTCAGATTTCCCCTATTTCATAGTGGCAGGAACAGTTTGAGTTTAATATAAAAGTTGAAGATTTTGGACCCAATTATAATTTAATATTTATTTATAAGTAGATTTAGTGATTTGCATGTTGTTTTTGTTTTGCGGAAGAGGTGATTTGTCGGTCTCGTGCTGCCACCTGCTGGATCACCACTGTCCTAGTCTTTGTAGAAAATATTTACCAGGTGACAGCAGATGGCTTCAGTAAAAAACAAGTTAGCTTTATTTGCGTAGTGAATTTAAGTTTTTAAGTATCTGGTAAAAAATCAAGTTGTATTTCTTATTCACTTAAAATATGATGGCCAAGCCAAAATTTCACCTGTTCCTTTAATTTAGTTATGGAATGTCAATGTGCTGACATTATTAAATTTATTAAATTTGTTTTAGGTATTTCTTTTCTATTTTTTTTTTTTTTTTTGTACAACTAGTATAATTCCACTGTGAAAAAACCCCACATAGCATTCCAGATTTAGAGATAGCAACTGGTAGTGCCAAGCCAGCTTGGAAATTAGATAGGAACGGGAAACAAATTCTGAAAAAAGCCTTGAACGGCCTCTCTGTGGAATGCTGCAGAATGCCTATCCCTTTTGTGCTGCCTTACTCTCCCTGTCACAAATCCTGTTTCTAGTCCTAAGCTCTGACGTATGTCTCGAGAAACTTTCATTTATCTAGAGTCTCTCGAACCCTTAGAGCACCATGGAGAGTTATTGAGGTGCAGTGAAGAATTCTTGCATAATTTAGGATGACTTTGGTGGCTTGCCTTTTTACACAAAAGAAGTGGTATTTACCCCTGTTGTCTCTGAGGTGGACACTCCCTGGATTTTTTAATCGTGGCTTGGAGTCTGTGACTTCCTCATTTATGACTAATGGTCTTATTGTAAGACAGGTGGCTGGATTTAAGCATCCACGTTGTAGGGCTCATTATTTTGATCACCAGTTTGGAAGCCAGCCACCATTGGAAACCTTTAACTTTTCTGTGACAACCACTATATCCCATGCCTATGAATACTATAGAGGGCTCTTTCTACACTTAAACTCTCTTATATTTGTGGGACTCCACTCCCTTAATTGTAGTAGAAAAATGAGATAATAGTGTCATCCAAAGATTAACCCCCAAAATCTTGAAATGTTTGGAGATTTAACACTATTTAAATAGCCATACTCAATCTTTACTAGGATCTATTGCAGTGGGGAAGGAGGTAGGGAAGAGAAGGATGAAGGACAGTTTGGAGAGAGGGAGACAGTGACACATTCTGAAAGAAAAGGAACCCCAATTAGCAAAGATGTGTGTCAAGAAAGGACTGTTTTCATCTTTCTGAAGCCCTATTTTTATCATATTATTCTACTGCTCAGGATTGTGCATTGTCTCTCTCCTGCTACCAAAATCAGCCCTATTCCTCTGTACCTATCTTCCAAGACCCTTTATGATTTGGTCTCACTTATCTCTCTCTCTTTTTTTTTTATTTAGGCATATTATAGGGGTACAGATTTTAAGGTTTCAATAAATGCCCATTTCCCCCCCTCCCCCCAAAAGTCTGAGTCTCCATCATGACCATCCCCCAGATGGTGCACATCTCACTCATTATGTATGTATATACCTTATCTCTTATGTGTTATTTTCCAATAACACAATATTTCCAATATGCCATCCTCTGTTCCACCAGATCTGCTCAGAGATCCATACAGATCCCACATTCATTTCTGTTCTTAGGCTGCTGTGTTCACTTGTTTTGGGGAAAGGAGGGAATGAAAACTGGGTAATACTAGACACTTTTATGGACTTCCCCCAACTGCCTTCTGGTGAAGATAAAGATATCATCCTCCCTATGTTGTAGATTGGGAAACTGAGGCTTTGGAGTAAGATTTACCCAAGATCACATACTTGGAAGTGGCAGAACCAGGGTTAGAAGTCAGGTCTGTCTGGCTCTGTAGCCCATGCTCATTTGAAGACACCTCACAGCCTCATTTTAATCAGTGTCATCTTCCTAAGGGTCAGAAAGGGAAGATAGTTTAGTTTATTCGTAGTGCTTTTCTGGTAAATCAGCTCTCAATGTGTGCACAGTGCCAACAGTTCTTAGAATTGTGTTTTTCAGTAGAATTTCCTCTCAGATTTAGTTAAGTACCAGCACAGTAACTTGACAATAAAGGGTAGACTAAAGCTACTTAAGGCTTTCAGTCTTGTTAGTAAACTTTGGTTGGGATCTGATGATAATTACCTTTCCTTGCACATAGCTGAACTCTCCCCTTGATCAAATTTGCTTAATATATTGGCTGGGTTTTGTTCTATCAGCATGACATAGAAATGGTGGCTGTGGAAGAGTAACCCATACTTTCATTCTGTTTTATTCATTATCTATAAAATTCCCTGGCAAGTTTTGATGCAAGAATCATTATTCTGGGATGTAATGTTTAGACAAAGAAAAAGTTTGATCTTCTGTCATTCCAACTCTATACAGAATAATTTTATGGTGTAGACAGTAACCTATAGCACTTCTAAACTTCTGCTGCTGCGCTACACAGAAAAGCTTCCTCCAGTGTCAGAGAACATACGAGAGAGACTGGACTTTAGTTAGCATTTGATCTTCCTGTAAAGCAGTCCAGCTCTGATTAGATAATTAAATGTGGAGCATCCTGATTTACCTGTTGTAGGTGTTTCTTTTTTATAGTTTCCTCTACGTAGTAAAATTTCAGTGTGAAATTCACTAATAAGAAACTCTGAGAAATATAGAAACTGCTTAATTCTAGATCCAATTTCCCTTCCACACCACTTCCAAAATTAGAGTTCTTGGTTTTGTTAGTCTTACTTTACACAAATTGCTTGTCGTATTAATTGGCTATGTGCAGGCTTTCTTTTTGGGTTGATTCTCTTTTCAGAGAAATAATTTTAGACCTTTGTTCTGGAGTTTTTAAGTCTTGTTAGATTTAAATGTAAACATTGGCCCTGAAGTAGCTTATGTTCTTCCAAAGATGCCTAGCATTGCCTTCATTGCTTCTTTGTTCGTGAAAATGTGAATAAACCTTTTTCTTCAGAATTGTGTGGCAGATTTTATTAATACCTTTTATGTGTTCATAGAACAAAGTTGTTTTTTTCAATATTATATTCTTAAGATGAGAAGTTGTTTTTATTACAGAGAAAAAATATTTCCTTAAGAAACTGAAAACAGTAAATATTATTGTCCAGTAACCCATTAAAAGAGGTAAAAAGATGACTTGATTTAAATCATGTAAAACTTAAAACTGTCATCAGTGAAAATTCTTGAAGGCCATTCCTGCTACAGCCTCTGACTTAAGAAATCACACTGGAGCCTCAGTTAGAAGTTTGAAAGCATGTGCTATGAAATGACATATCTGTGTTATGTTAGGAATGGCATAATTTAAGAGTACTCATCAACCATTTCATTCTGCAGGACCAATTTGACTATAATGTGTGACGTTTACATAGAGACCCCTGACACGGGAGGTGTGTTCATTGCAGGAAGAGTAAATAAAGGTGGTATTTGGATTAGAAGTGCCAGAGGAATTTTCTTTTGGATTTTTGCAAATGGCTCTTACAGAGTTACAGGTGATCTCGGTAAGTGATATTTTTACAGCACGTGACTTACTGTGTGATTATGTTACTTTGAGCATATGCTTGTTATTTGTGGGAGCAATAAAAGAGTTCTACCTGAAGATGCCTGGGCATCTAATTGGGAAGAAATTCAACATATGTGAGCAAATACCAAACAATTCAAAATATAGAGAGTTATGTAATTCATACGGAAAAGGGAAATGTACAAGCTTTTTAGGGTGTGGTAGAGTTGAGCTGGGCTGTGAGGGTAGGATTTACATAGACTGGGGTGAGGTGGTGGTGCTAGGGAGAAAATGCTCAGGAAGCACTTTAAATAAAAGCAGGACTGTAAGAATGTTGCTGTTATGCTTATGGAAATATCAAGAGTGGGATTGATCTGCTTAAAATGGAGAAATCTTATTTCCTAATTTAGTTCATATTTGAAAACAGCTTGACTTTTCTCATTCATCTGAACAGCTCTTGTGTTTGGTAGAACAGTATTTTATCCAGAGTAGGTGCTTAGAATATGTTCAAGTTGAACTATATCCAGTTCACTTTGGTTTTGGGATGTGCCACCCCATTGAAACTAGGTGTTATTGGTGGTGCCTCTTCTTGATTCTCAGTCTCTTGACTTTTGCATTAATAAAACATCTCCCTTTTATCATTTGCTGCCCTTTTCTTGGCTCTATAAATAAAATAAAAATTAAAGAGGGAGCAGGTAGTGAGGACATTAGAGTAGGAATTGTGTATTTATAGCATTATCAATCTAGATATGGCCCATCTCTGCTTTCACAATGCCAAACAGAGAGCCAGAGAGGTTAATTGATTTGCTTGATGTCTCAAAGCTAGTTAGTGGCAGAATTGGAACTAGGAATTTAAATCTGTATCGTAGTCCCCACTGTTCTGTGTTTTAAACTGCCTACTTAACATCTTATCCTGGGTTTCTCTTAGTAAATCTAAAAATTAACTTATTATTTTCTTCTTCTAATTCTAACTTAATTCTTTTGGCATGTAACCAGTTAGACTGGCTGGAAATCTTATGGTAGTCTTTGACTCCTCCCTCTTATCCTCCGTATTCAATCCAATCAGATATAAACACATAGCTGAACTGTAGATGCTAACACATTATACTGTCATTGGTTTTTAAGTTTATTTCACTGGTTCTGTTGTGAGCTCATATACAGTATGGCTCAAGTAATTAAATGCATGGCTAAATGAATGATGTTTTGGCTTAAATCAGTTGTAGATCTGGGAATGAAGGGATACAGTTCTTTACTAAAGCTGACTTTACTACATATATATGCCACCTGAGAACCTCCACTGAATTATATGATTCTGCAATTGAGATTTTAAAAATATATCAATTCGGATGATCTTTTTGTATTACAGCAGGATGGATCATATATGCTTTAGGACGTGTTGAAGTGACAGCAAAAAAATGGTATACTCTCACGTTAACTATTAAGGTAAGTATTACAGTCATAATGTCTGGAGGTAAAAATGTGCTTTTCTTGTACCTTTGTAGAACTTTCTCTTATAAAATGAAGGGGAGAATCTGCCATCGTACCAGTAAACCTCCCATCCCTAGGATGATTATGTGTGTCAGGGTAACCCACATGAAAACCATCAGTGTTGACTTTATAAGACTACTATTTTTAAAAATTTTGGTTTTGTTTTTAAATTGAGGAGTAATTGGTAAAGTCAATAGTTGAACTATTTTTTTTAAAACTTGCTTGAACCAACACTATTATTTGAGCTTTTAGGTGTAAGCAAAGTCATAAATTTGTTTTTGCTGGCTAAGAATGATTTGGTTTTCAACTGTAAGCAGTTTCTTAGATGTTGGTTTCCATGAATATTTTTGTTAGAGAAGATACCAGATTAATCTTAGTATATGGAAATCTAAAAATATTCATCAAAATCACTGGTTGATCATGAATTACTGATTGACAGAGCTTCCAAGGGATGCTGTGTAGGGAAATTCTTTTGTATAATATGCTGCTCTCTCCCAAGATAGTCCTCTCATAATTTTTTTTAGGTTACACTAGAAATTAAAAGTGGGCTTCAAGTAACTTTTAAACAATTCTTCTTTCTTCCCACTCAATCACTAAAAATAATAGTACTGATTATTTAAGTATTAACAATATGTGTTGAAGACCTAGTTTGGATGTAATGTAATTTATTAGTGTGGTATGGTTAATACCACAGTTAATGGGCATAACTTTATTCCCAATTCTTCCCTTTTACCATGAACTGAGGCAGTAAGGGCTGAGTTTACTTGTTCATAAAGGGAAGAGATCCTAAGCATGCTTCCTAGGGTGCACATAAGGTTGTTTGTTTAGGCAGATATTTAGAAGTGGAATTGTATTTTATTTTTTATTTTTTTTCAATAGTTAAGCTATTCTAATTGATGTTGATTTAATATTTTTATCTAAAAATATTAAGGGGATATAAATGTTTTTCATTGCATGGATTGATTTTATAATGCTTGAGTCATGGCTATCAGTGTGCCCATCTCCCAAATAGTGTTGGTTATACCTGTTAGATAAATTTTCACCCATTCCATTCACCCTCTTCCTCTCCTGCTTGATTCTCACAGAGTTTTACTTACCTTTATGCACACATACGCTTATCAGTTAGTTCCAATTTAATAGCAAATATATGTAGGATTTGTTTTTCCATTCTTTAGATACTTCACTTAGGATGATGGTTTCCAGTTGCATCTAAATTGTTGCAAAAGGCATTAATTCACCATTTTTTATGGCTGAGTAGTAGTACTCCATGGTATACATATACCACATTTTGTTAATTCACTCATGAATTGATGGGCACTTAGGTTGATTCCACATCTTTGCAATTATGAACTGTGCTGGACTAAACATTAGAATGCAGGTGTCTTTTTGATAAAATGACTTCTTTTCTGTTGGGTAGATACCCAGTAGTGAGATTGCTGGATTGAATGATAGGACTACTTTTAGTTCTTTGAGGAATCTCCATACTGTTTTCCATAGAGGATGTACTAATTTGCAGTCCCACCAACAGTGTATAAGTATTCCTTTCTCTCTGCATCCATGCCAGCATCTGTTGTTTTTAGACTTTTTAATAAAAGCCATTCTAACAGGGGTAAGGTGAGATCTCATTGTGGTTTTAATTTGCATTTCCCTGATGATTAGGGACATTGAGCGTTTTTTCATATGTTTATTGGCCATTTGTCTGTCTACTTTTGAAAAGCTTCTGGGATATGTAGTCTGTAGTTTTCTTTTTTTTGTTGTGTCCTTTCCTGGCTTTGGTATCAAGGTGATATTGGCTCCATTGAATGAGTTGGGAAGGAGTCCCTTCTTGATGTTATGGAATAATTTCTGCAGTATGGGTATCAGCTATTCTTTGTAGGTCTGGTACAATTTGGCTGTGAATCCATCTGGCCTGGGACTTTTTTTTTGTTGGAAGATTTTTTATTACTGCTTTAATCTTGCTGTTCATTATTGGTCTGTTCAGGAGTTGATTAAATCCACAAGCTAAGGAAACAATCAACAGAGCACATAGACAACCTGCAGAATGGGAGAAAATATTCACAAGCTATATCTCCTATAATGAACTAATAACCATAATCTACAGAGAACTCAAGCAAATCAATAAAAAACCCAATGACCCCATTGAAAAGTGAGTAAAAGACATGAACTGTGAAGATAGATGCAAGAATGCTCATTAAAATACTAGTAAACTGATTTCAGCAGCATGTTAAAAAAATATTCCACCATGACCAAATGGGCTTCATCCCAGGGATGCAAGGATGGTTCAACATACATGAATCAATAATTGTGGTTCACCACATAAACAGAAGCAAAAACAAAGACCATATGATCATCTTTATAGATACAGAAAAAGCATTCAACAAAATCCATCACCCTTTCATGATAAAAACCCTTAACAAATTAGGCATAAGGATCATTACTCAAAATTATGAAAGCCATAAATGACAAAACCATAGCCAATATCATACTGAATGGGGAAAAGTTATTCCCCCCAAGAACTGGAACAAGACAAGGGTACCCATTATCACCACTTCGATTCAACATAGTGCTCGAGGTCCTAGGCAGAAAAATCAGGCAAGAGAAAGATATAAAGGGTGTCCAAATCAGGAAAGAGGAGCCAAACTGTCTGTTTTTGCTGATGATTTGATCTTATATCTAGAAAACCTCAAAGACACTCCATGAGGAGACTCCTGGAATTGATAAATAAATTCATCAAAATCTCAGGTTGCAAAAATCAATGTACACAAATCAGTAGCATTTCTATATACCAATAGCAGTCAAGCTGACAGGCAAATCAAAAATTCAATGCCATTCACAATAGCTACAAAGAAAATAAAATACCTTGGAATATACTTAGCCAAGGAGGTGAAAGATCTCCACAAAGAGAACTATGAAACACTGAGGAAAGAAATTGCAGATGACACAGACAAATGGAAAAAACATATCAGGCTCATGGATCAATAGAATCAATATTGTTAAAATGTCCGTATTACCCAAAGTGACTTACAGATTCAATGCAATCCCCATCAAAATATCAATGTCATATTCCACAGATATAGCAAAAATAATTCTACACCTTTTTTGGAAACAGAAAAGAGCCTGAATAGCCAAAACAATCTTAAGCAAAGAGAACAAATCTGGAGACATCACATTACCAAAGTATACTAGAAGGCTATAGTAACCAAAACAGCATCGTATTGGCACAAAAATACAGACATAGATGAAAGGAACAAAACAAAGAACCCAGTTATAAAACCATCCACATACAGCCAACTGATCTTTGACAAAACAGACAACAATATACACTGGGGGAAAAGAAGCTCTATCAATAAATGGTGCTGAGAAAATTGGATAGCCACATACAGAAGAATGAAGTAAGATCTATTTCTGTTACCACTCACAAAAGTTAATTCAAGATAGATGAAAGACTTAACTGTAGGCATGGAACCATAAGAATTCCAGAAGAAAATATAGGAAAAACTCTTCTAGATATCCACCTAGGCAAAGAATTTATTACTAAGACCTCAGTGGCAATTACAGCAGCAACAAAAATAAATGGGACTGCATTTGAAATTTTAACAGATATTACCATATTGCTAGCCAAACTGTACAAATTTTTATAGCAATTGTAATCATATTTGATATTATAAATTTTAAAGATTTTTTTCAAACTAATATGATTTGTATTTCCTTGGTAATTATGGAGATTGGACATCTGATGTTTATTGTCTGTTTTTATTTTCTTTGAAGTTGCCTGTTCAAATTCTTTCTTCATTCTTATGTGGTGTTGTCTTTTTCTGATGGATTTATATGAATTTATTATATATATTCTGGGTAGTAACCCATTGTGTATTATATATGTTACAGGTATTTTCTTCTTTGATGTGTATTTTAATTTTGCTGTGATACCTTTGATTAATAGATTTTTAAATTTTGATACTGTCAAGTATTTCACCTTTTTTTCCCATTGTTTTTATGTTTGTGTTTTTAGAAGGCCTTCCCCTTTCTAATGGTTAGGGACAATTTTTCCCAAAACTAAACACAGCCTAGGATTTATTTTTATGTTTAAGGTTTTAATGCATCTGGAATTTGTGAATTGTAAGGGGAAGCATCCAGTATAATTTAAAAAAAAAAAGAAACAAATTGATAACCATCATCATTTATTACATGGTCTGTCTTTTGCCCATAATTTAAAGGCTAGCTTTTTGATGTAACAAATCAGCACATGTGTATAGGCTTGTTTCTGAACTTTTCTGTTTTTCATATTGCTGTTTGTCTATTATCCAAAATTACACTTTAAATTGTGTTAGCTTTCTAAATGCTTTGATTATGTGGCTTACTCCCTCACTTCCTTCACAGTTCTTTCCTGGCCACCTGATATAAAATAGTGCCCCATCTCACTCTCTGTACCCCTTCTGTTGCTTAATTTTTCTCTAAAGCTTTTATCCCCACTTGACATCACACATATTCTACTGATTTCTTATGTGTTTGTCCTACTCCCTTCACTAGCACATGGCTCCTTTAGTGACAGGCCTCTCCCCTTTTTATTCCCTGCTAGCTCTCCAGCACCTGGAAAAGGGCCTGGCACACTGGCAGAGCAAGAGCTCAAAGAATCCTTGGTGGATGAATGGATATACCTGATGGAGTAACTCCCTCATTGTTTCTTTTTCAAAATTATCTTTGCTGTTCTGGTATATTTACTCTGCTATTTGAATTTTTAAAACAGTTTTTCAATTCTGTGAAAATTGCTGCTGGTATTATATCAAATTACATATCAATTTGGGGAAAATAACTTTTTAAATGCTACTATGTTTCTTTGTGCAAGAACATGGGAACAAGAACATGCTGTATCTCACCATTCATTAAGATCTCCCAGTATGTCCTTCAACTTATTTTTGTACTTTTTGCACATATCTGGTTAGGCTTGTTTTTAATAACTTCATGAATTCTTTGAAATTGTGAATGAGATTTAAAAAATACATTTCCTTACCTTTTTAAAGATAGTTTGCCTATATGGTTAAAAATCAAAAGGGCTATTGAAAACAGCTGCCTCCTGCCTCACCTCTTATTCCTTCCTCCTCACCCCAACTCTGTGTTCTGTATCTCTGACACAGCCACCCTTAACTATTTTAGGTGTTTCTTCTGGTATGCCTTTAATACAGTGTGATTTATTACTTTCAGAAATTGGCTCTTGTCTTGCCACCAGGTTAGATAGGGATTTTGCTGGATTGCACCCACTCCACCCCACCCCCATTATTTTCTGTTCCATCAGTTTTGAGCGTTCTACTTCTCTCTTGCATCTCAGCTTTATGCCACATACTCTGAGAGTTGAGTCTTTCTCCAGCTAGCCAATCTAAAGTGGTCTCTCAGCACCCATTGTCACATCAACCTGTTGTAATTCTCCACAAGCCACTTATCCCTGAGCTTCAATTTAGTGTATATGTGTTTGTATGTGTTTGTGTGTCTCCTTCTGTGGGAATGTAACCTCCCTAAGAGCTGGAACCTTGTCTTTTTGTTCATCCTAAATTCCGAGTGTATTAAACAGCACTCGGCATATGAATATTTTCACACAAATGAAAAAAAAAATTAAAACAACATCTTTTATGTTGTCCATATTTCAAATTACAGCTAATATGAGGATTTTATTATTTTAACATTGGCCATTTGTTGAATTCTTCTCAGCATATGTCAGCTCTGTTGCATGGTGGTTAGAACAATAGACTTTGAAGTCTGTGATGTTCCACTTGCAAGTATTTTGTATTGCTCAGCTTCAGTTTTCCCATCGATAGCATCAGGAAGACAGACCTTCTTATGGAAATTCAGTGAGATAACAGATATGAAAGTTTGGTACTGTACCTGATTTGTGGTAAGCACTTAGTGAATCAAGTTCTTAGGAGTTCTCATTCTTAAGGTAGGAGTGTTTGAAACCAGACAGACCCAGTATTCATATTTCCTCGCTGACACATACACTTCCAGCAAGTCATTTCACCTCTTTGTCTGTTTCTTTATCTGTAAAATGGAGATGGCTTCTGTGAGGTTGTTTTTAGGGTTAAATATGTTTCGTTCTTTTATTAAGCCCCTATCATATATACTTTCTTAAGTGCTAGGGACAAGACAGACAAGATTCCTGCTCTCTTAGAGCATATGTTCTAAAGGGCCAGATAGTAAATACTTTAGAGTCTGCTGCAACTACTCAACTCTGTAGTGCGAGAGTTGACAGCCATAGACAGTAGGTAAATGAATGGATGTGGCTGTGTTCCAGTAAAATTTTATTTACAAAAATAGGTGGCTGGCCTGTGGGTCATAGTTTGATTACCTCTGTTCTAAGACAATAAATTTGTAAATACATACATAAATAATTCTGAAGAAAAATTTGGGGTAATGATTCTCTAACCAGGGAGATCAGAGAAGACCTCGCTGAACTGGTGATATTTGAGCTCACACCTGAGTGATGGGAAGAACAGTGTGAGCAGACTGCACAACTGGTGCCAAAGGCAGGCATGGCTGGTCATGTGTGAGGACAGCCAGGAGGCCAGGGTGGCTGAAGCCTGGGTATTAAATGGGGGGAGGAGGAGATGAGGTGCTGTTATGTAGGTTCTTTGCATGGCATGATTTGTGCATGTGAGTCCCTTGGCTTAGAGTTAATATTCACTATTCCGTAGCTGCAGAAGATGTTCAGTAAGCACTTTTAGTCCCGAAGATAGCCGTGCAAGTATGTAGTAATAGGAACATGGCTCTGTAATTTGGAGTTAAGGTGACTTGGATGGAAATTCCGGCTCTGTGGTAAATCTGTGACTTTGAATTTTAATCTTGTTAAGCCTCAGTGTCTCCCTGTATAAAATAAAAGAACTAATAAGTTAAGTCCATTACATTATAGTTCTACGACTTAAATAGTGATTTATTTTGGTTCTTGGCCTATGATTCAAGCTCAAGTGCTTTGAATCTTGAGCTCTTCACCTTTTGAGAGTAGCTAGTTTTAAATTTTTAGCTATAATTGCTATGGTGTGAATATATGCTCATAAATGTGCTATAATAATGATAATTAGAACTTATATTTTTTGCTTACTGTGTGCCAGGCACACGGAGCTAAAGAGAAGGACAACATCATGGCAGCCTTCTGAGGAAGACATAATTTTTTCTTTCTCTCTCAGTGACCAATAAGTCACACCTTACGGATACTTTCCTTCTTCCACCCCTCACCCTTGGCCCCATCATCAATTTAACTGATGGCTACTGTTTTCCCAAATTAAATGTAGGAGCTTCATATGGTTTTGAAGTGATATTCTGTACATGGGAACAAAACACTAACGCTACGGTAGTTACTATCTTCTGGCTGGGCAAAAGCTCGTTAATGAAGACTTTAGGTAAACAGTGAGTTAGAGGCAGGTATTTTGTCACCAGCACTGTCCTCCTATCTGAAGAGCCGGTGGCTGTTAGCCACAACACCTACACATCCAACTACTTTAAATAAAAAACGTTTTTTTATTTTAATGGACTTTTATCTAAAACTTTATAATAATGTTATGAAAAGTTTTGTTTTTTGTCAGTTTTACATTTTGGTGGCACACAAGGAATTGAGGTATTCCTTGTACCTTGGCGACTATTTAGATAGGAAGGTAAGAATTTCCTCCCAGAAAACTTTTTCTATATTTTAAATTTTTGCTCAAACTTAACAGAATTGTGTTTTGCTGTGGTAAGTCTTGAGTAAGAAGGAGATTTGCTCTACTAAATAGGTGGGCCACGTATTATTAAGAAACAGACTTCAGAGGCTCATCTCCGCATGTTTTCAAAGGGTGTGTGTTTCTCTCTACTCCAGGGTCGTTTAGCCTCTGGTATGTTGAATGGCAAGTTCCTGTGGACAGACATCCCTGTGAATTTCCCGAAGAATGGCTGGGCTGCTATTGGAACTTACTCCTTTGAATTTGCGCAGTTTGACAACTTTCATGTGGACGCCGCACACTAATAGTTGCAGCACATCTTAGAACACTGTTTGGATTTTCTTCCTTTCTTTTTGATTTTGGTTCAAAGCCAATTCTTGTTTTGATGGGCCAATATAAGAGCCTTTGGAGGCTAAAAATAATGAAGAGTAAGTAGGGAGAAAATTATATATTTGCTTGATCCTGTAGAAGATTTTATTAGAACTAATTCCAGAGGGAAAACAGGCGAATCTGTAACACTACCTGGTGTGTTGTTCCCTAACATTCAAACTGTACGTCACTCCTACCCATAGGAGTGGTTTGAGTGGGTCAGATGTTGAAGCCTCGGTGCTAATACTGAGGTCACTGTCTTCATCTTATTTGCAAGTGATCATGCAGATGGCAGTAACTTGACTGTCACCGAGATGTGTTTATGAATGCTGGCCTTGTGCGTCAGTGAGCCAATGTCCTCATCAGAAGATGATGTTGCCATAATAGGAGCCGAAGGACACTGGAAGTAGCTTTTTGAAGACCACTACGACATGACATGTTATCCTTATACTCTAAAAAGTATTTTTTTTTCTTTTCCTTTTTAAGATGATGCTTTTGAATTGCATAATATGGTGAGTGGGGTGATTTTTTAAAAATGCCTCATTAATAAACTACCCCTAAAACTATTTCTGCAGCAATAATATTAGCAGATTAACTGGGTTATTTGCATTCTTTAATTCTTTAGATTCCAACTTTTAGTCATATAACCCTTCTAACCCTGTGAATGATCTCCCAGGTGGCAGATGAAGGGAGAAAAACCTATAAAGCCAATGCTGTGAGTGAGTCTAGAGACAAAGCTGTAACAGTTTCCGGTGTCTTATTTCACTGTACCTTTTGTGGTCTAGCCTCACAGGTGGCACTGGTAACAGACTAAAACAGCCAGTGAACGCTTTTGTCTCATGTGTGGAAGGAAAACGCTTAGCCTTTTGCTAGCTCACGGAATTGGATCATTTAATGTTTTGTATGGTTAAATGAGCTTATTTTTTAAAAGTCCAAATGTGTCGGACTTTTTATATTTAATGTAAATATGGGTGAGCACTTTTCTCATGTAAGTATGATTTATGTCTAAGCATTAATGTAGCTCTAAGAAGCAAATCAGTTATTCATGGAGGTAAAGTAAATTCTGAAATTCTTTGTAAGGAAATAATTATTCATTAAACTAATTCTATATAGGAATTGGTAAGGGTCTAACATAGGCTTAGTTACAATGAAGTTTCACATTACTTTTGAAGATAAGAGACTAATTACTAGAATAAATCAGATTACAGAGAAAATTTTAAAATTAAAACCGAGTCTGTGATTTTCAGTTCATATTTTAAGTATTCTTTAAATTATTATAGAGGTATTAATGTAATTTATATATGCTGAAATGTTCCTATTTTAAGTATACAATTTAGTGAATTTTTATCAATGGATATACCCGTGTAACCAACACTCTAATCACACTATTGAATATTTCCCTCACCCCAGGAAGTTCTCTTGTATACGTGTGCAGTCAATTCCTCTCACTCCCAATCTCAGGCAACCATTGATATGATTTCTATCACTATTGATTAGTTTTCTTTATTCCAGAACATCATAAAAGTGGCATCATATACTATGTACTCTTGTGAATGATTTCTTTCAGTCAGTGTAATACTTTTGAGATTTGTCCATGTTGTGTTTATCAGTGGTTTGCTCTTTCTTATTTCTGAAGAATAGTTCATTACGTGAATATACCGCAATTTGTTTTTTCCTCCACTTTCCAATATTAAAAATAAAACTACCTACATTTACAACAAATCTTTGTATTAAATGTGTTTTTTTTTCTTCTGGATAAATACTGAGGAGTGAAATTGCTGGGTCTTATGTTAAGTATGTTTAACTTAAGAAACCACCAAAAAGTTTTCCAAAATGATTGTATGATTTCATACTCCCTTCAACAATATTTGAGAGTTCCGATTACTCTACATTCTTGTCAGTGTTTCATGTTGTCATTCTTTCTAATTTTAACTCTTAATTGTGGGTGTATAGTAGGTGCATTTCTCTGATGACTAATGCTATTGTGTGTCTTGTCATGAGTTTATTGGGCATTCATATATTTTGTTTTATGAAATGTCTATTTAAAATGCTCATTTTAAAAGTTGTCTTTTCATTAAAGTGTGAGAGCTCTTTACATATTCTAGATACAAGGTTGGTTTTTTTTTTTAAATCAATGTTTTGTAAATTATGTTCTACAAAGAGCCTGATGGAATTTTGATTGTGATTTCATTTAAATTACAGATAAATCTGGGGAGAACTGTTATCTGACTAATAGGAACCTTTCGATCCATGAGCAGTTATACCTCTTCATGCATGTATTTAGGCTTCTGTATTGTCTCTTAGCAGTTTCTGCAGACCACAGCAGTTTCTAGAGTGTACAAATCTTGAACATAATTTGATAAATTTATCCTTAAGTATTTTGTTTTTGATTCTATGATAAATGGTGTTTTTTTTCCTTTTCCTTTTCATTTACTTGTTGCTCATACTAGAAATACAGTTGATTTTGTTTATTTTTTAATAAACCTGCTGCCTTGCTAAATTTACTTATTAGTTCCAACTTCTTTTTTTTTGGTAAATTCTTTAGGATTTTCTGCATATACAGTTGTGACATCTGTGAATATAGACTGTTTTATTTCTTCCTTCCCAATATGTTACTTTATTTCTGGTGTTGTTGTTGCCTTATTGCACTGGCTGGGGCTTCAAGTATAATGTTGAGAAGTGGTAAGAGCAGATGTCCTTGCCCTTTTCCTCCTCTTAGGAAGAGTTTCTCTTACCATTAAGTGTAATGTTAGTTTTAGAGATTTGTTTATTTAGATAGATTCCCTTCATCTAGGGAAAATTTTTTCTATTTCCAGCTTGCTGAGATAAATATTATGAATAAGTGTCAAATTTGTTAATTTTTTTTATAGCTAATGAGATAGTTATATGATTTTTCTCTGGTATTCTGTTAATGTAATATATCACATTGTTTGATTTTTAAGTATTAAAGCAAGTTTACATTCCTGAGATATGTCATTATCAAGTGGGGTTTATTACTCTGTTTATATGTTGGTGGATTTGATTTGCCAATATTTGGCTAAGGATATTTGTGTCTTTGCTTATGCGGAATATTGATCTAGTTTAATTTTCTTGCAATGTCTTTGCCTGGTTTTGTTAACAGGGTGATACCTCATAAAATCAGTTGGGAAATGTTCCCTTCTCCTTTATTTTCTGAACAAGACTGTGGGATTCTTAAATCTGAGATAGAATTTATCAGCCATATCAATCAGGGTCCAATCAGGAGACAGAAACCACACCAGTAAAAACTTAATATGAAGAATTATTAACTAGTAACAGAGGATTAACTACTGAGGGGTAAAGAGAACTCTAAAGAATATAGCAAATACAGAGATAAGTCACTTCCTAGGAGGGAACAAAATACCCAAGGAAGGAGCAAACTTGGAAGGAAGTCTTCCTCATAAGGCTGAGACTTAGATCTCATTGAAGACAGTATCTTGTGAAATTGGAATGGCATAGAGTTTGCTGGGGGCTGGCAAACAGGGAACTGCTTTCTGGGGTGTGTTTGAGACTCAGTGGAAAGCTCCTAGGGTGCTGCTGAAACTCACTAAGAAGCTACCCTTTGTGGTGCTGGTGTAACTTTCTGGGAAACTGCCTGCAGCCATGCTGGTGAAACTCCCTGGAGGGTAAGTGCCACCAATTGTCCCAGCTCTCAATGGAAAAGGTGCTTCACTGGGTGTCCCAAAGGCTGCTAGCAGACACATGCCACAGGAGCAAGAAGGAAAAAGCACACGGGGACAAGGAGCACAAGCTCCTTTCTCCTGCAGTGTCCCTCCAGTAACTTTTACTGACAAAGCTTAAGTGTGCCATGTGACACAAGAGAAGTGTTTACAGGACCCAGCTGCAGTATCATAAAGCAGGTCAAAGAAGAGGGAGTTAGGGTATGACAAGCTTTAATAGATATGGGGCTATTCCAATTTTTAAAATTTCTTAGGATGTCAGTTTTGGTCTTTTAAGGAATTTGTCCATTTCATCTAAATTGTCTATTTTATTGACATAAAATTGTTTAAAATATTGTCTTATTTTAATGCCTATAAAACATTTGTGATATGGCCAATTTGTGCTTTCTCTTTTTTATCTTCATTATTCTAGTTAGTGTTTTATCAATTTTATTTACCTCTCAAAGAACCAGGTTTTTGGTTTCTTAGATTTTTTTCTGTTGCTTCTTTGTTTTCTATTTCATTCATTCCTACTTGTATTTTTATTACGATATTCATTCTTCCACTTTGAGATTAAATTTGCTTTTATTCTAGCACCTTAATATATAAGCTTAGATCTTTGATTTTATCTTCTTTTTTAATATAAGCTTTTAACACTAAAATTTTCTCTAAGCACTGGTTTAGTTACAGCTCACATGTTTTGGTATTCCTGGTTTATTTTCATTCAGTTCAAAATGTTTTCTAATTTCTCTTATAATTTTTTGACCTTTATGTTAATTAGAAGTTTGATGTTTAATTTTAAATATTTGAAGATTTTCCAGATTTTGTCATTTAGATTTAACTTAATTATGTATGTGTTGGGTTTCATTTCAACGCTTTAGGCTTGTTTAGACTTGTTATATGACCCAGTTTGTCTTAATCAATGTAATCTTAAAAATAATATGCCTTCTGTAGTGATTGGCTATGTTTTACAAATATTAATTAGGTCATATTGGTTGATAGTGTTGTTTAAGACTTCTATGTATTTACTGATTTTTCTCTTTACTTGTTCTATTAATTACTAAAAGAGAAGAGTTAAAATCTCCAAATACAATTGTGTGTTTTCTGTTTCCCTTGCAATCTGATAGGATGGTTTTTCTGGGGCTTTCTAGCTCTAGTACAGCTCTGTTCTTAAGACATGGAATTCCTTGGGAGTTGAATGAGTTCTCACCACTGTGGTTGTTCAGACCTTGCATCTTCCAATCCTGTGAGAATTTTGATAGTTTTTCATCTAACAGGTCCCTGTTAACTATTCTTTCCCTGGTTATTCTTTGCCTGGCCCAAAGGGTTTCACATTATGAATATGTTGTTTAGAGTCAAAGACACAAACAGACTCCTTCTAAGATTCCTGGACCTCTTTTTTGGTATAGCTCCCCTCTCTCAGATACTCTGCACTGCAGATTTCAGGTGCTGCAGCTTCCTTGAACTCTGATCTTTATCTCCCCAGTTCTACAAGGCCCATAAACTCTGTATTTCCCCTCCTTGCATTGGAATCTGGTAAATGGCTCCAAACAGAAATTGGGGATCGTAGAATTCCCCTCATTTACTTCACCTTTTTCAGGGATTACAGTTTTGGGCTGCCTGTTGTTTACTCTCTGAAATAGTAGTTACAGTGGGAAGACTGGTCCAGTTCCAGTTGTTATTTTCTCAAGGCTGCAAATGGAACTCTCCACTCATCTACTTTAATATCTAGCTATCAGGAACCTTTTTTGACATCTTTTCATGCTAATACAGAAGGCTTATCTAGATTACTTTAGAATGAAATAAAATGCATTTGGAAAAAAATTATTTTACTCGATGAAGCCATTTTGGCAGGGTGAAAATGTACAAGGCATTATATGATCATCTTTCAGTATGAGAAACAATAGGTCCCTGACTTACAATGATTGGACTTAGGACTTTTTTCAACTTTAGGAAGGTGTGAAAATGATATGCATTTAGCAGAAACTGCACTCTGAATTTTGATGTTTCCCCAGGCTAGTGATACATGGTGTGATGCTGGGTGGCAGCAGTGAGCCATAGCTCCCAGCCAGCCACGTGATCACAAGGGTAAATACCAGGTACTCTATGGTGTACTCTCTGTTCCTGGTGTTTTTTGGTATGATTTTGCCCAACTGTAGGCTAATGTAATTACTCTTGGCATATTTAAGGTAGGCTAGGCTAACCTATAATGTTTAGTAGGTTAGGAATATTAAATGCATTTTTGACTTAACAATGTTTTCAACTTTTGATGGATTTATCTGGATGTAACCCCATCATCTGAGGAGTTGAGGAGCATCTGTAATTTGAACTATCGTGACTTTGATGCTTTTTCAGGTGGTAGCTTAATCTTGTCAAGTAGCTTTGAGCTATTTGGATATAGAGAATGTATCTTATACCTCTACATTCCCTGCATTGCTGCACATGCATTAATAGATGGTCATCAAGGGCTTGATTTTTGATCAGGTTTGATTTGATAGACTGTTCTTATAGAAGACTACTAGTGACCAAGAATTATATTTATTGAAGTAGATCCACCAGAGCCTCTAGATGAAACTATTTTATAAGTTGCCAGAGTTACTTTGAACACCTAACAGTAATACCTGGAAAAGCACCATGTAAGAGTGTTGAACTTGAGTCCTAAGATCTGGGCTGAATGCCAGACCTACTACGTATTTAGCTGACTTTGGTTGAATCATTTAAGTTGCTGCTTTTGTAAAACAGTTAAGCTGGATGCTCACTGAGACAGCTTCCATCTCTTACTCTGTAATGCTAACGGTGTGACTTATAGGTCTGCATTTCTTGTATTTAATTCGAGTCTTTAACTAGGTAAGTTGCTTACCAGAAGAGGTGATTTTTTTTTTCTAGATCAGTAAGGCTTGTGACCTGTTATTTCTCATACTGAAAGATGGTCATACAATGCCTTGTACATTTTCACCCTGGCAAAATGACTTCATCAAGTGAAATAATTTTGCAAATGGACTTAACTTCATTTTAAAATGATCTAGATAAGCCTTATGGCAGATT